CCATCATCATCACCACCACCACTACCATCATTATCATCACCACAACCACCATCACCACCACCATCATCATCACCATCACCACCACCACCATCATCATCACCATCACTACCCTCACCACCATCATCACCACCACCATCATCACTACCACCATCATCATCACCACCACCACCATCGTCATCACCATCACTATCATCATCACCACCACCATCATCATCATCATCATGATCAAAAAGTACTTGGTACCAGTGAATAATAAGATAATAAGAATAGTAAGAATAATAAGAAATAATAATAAGAATGTGCCAGGCAATGCCCTAACTAGAACAAGACCCGGTGCCTTATTTCATACAAGGACAAATTGTGAAGCATAGTCATTTCTTACAGTTTAAGGTAAAATGTAATACCCACTCTGAAGACCACTCTGGGGATTCAACTCAGAATTTTTGAAAACCTTGTCTCCTGTTCACCCTATTTTCTGCCATGACCCCTGGACTGGATGGCATTCAAAGGCATGATGCAATCCCTCAGACTGGGAGTTGTGATAATCTCTGGCTGGTGTGTTAGCTGTTGCTCCTCCCCGTTCTGCCCTCCTCTAAGCAGAATATCACACAGCCTGAGGAGTCATCCTGAGGGCGTGGTTTCCAGGCTGGGATGGGGAGCCCTGGGAAATCCTTTTTTTTTTTTAAGATTTTATTTATTTGACAGAGATCACAAGTAGGCTGAGAGGCAGGCAGAGAAAGAGAGGCAAAAGCAGGCTCCCTGCTGAGCAGAGAGCCCGATGCAAGGCTCAATCCCAGGATCCTGAGATCAGGACCTGAGTCGAAGGCAGAGGCTTAACCCACTGAGCCACACAGGCGCCCCCAGAAATTCTTATTTCTACTTACGCCATGGGCCTATCCCTCTTATGGTAAAAAATACTAATAAAAATTTGAGTGAGAATAGCATTATAGGAATAACATGCTATGAGCTACAGAAAGAGTATTTCACCAGCAAACTTTGAGACCTTACTGTAACCCATTACTTAGGATGTATTTTAAAATGATCCTAAGATACAAATATCTCCACAGAACCTCTGATGAGGTTTATATACTGTTTCCCACTCTGAAGAGCTCCCATGAAAGACCCTCCCTCAGCCATGCTACATCAGCCGATCCCAACACTTGAACATTTGAAACAGCCATGAAGGAGAGAGGTGATGCCCGAGCACATAAATGGGGCACGGAATGCTCAAAGAATCTGGCCCTCTCCCCCATAAAAGATTCCTGTGACATCATTCTCATGCCTCTTCTGTCTAGACCCACATTCTCACCCTTCTCAGCCCTCCCACCCATCTATACTACTCTACAAAGGGCAGACATCAAGAAAAGAAACAAAAAGAATTTTATGTGCATGTCTTCCATTACTTCTCAATGACCCAAATGGTAAGCATTACCATTATGATAATGACCTTCATCTTCACAGATGAGGAAACTGAAGTTCAGCAAGGTTGAGTAACTTGCCCAGCTGATGACACAGCCAAAGGGCCAAGCTAGGAAGAGGCCCAGTTCTGACAAGCTTCAGAGCCCAGACTCTTGCAACACCATCTCATGACACCTGATGACCTGGCTCTCTCTCTCCCCGTCTCCCCCCGTCCCTTCTCCTGACACCATGGGCCAGGGCTTCAACAGTAATATTCCCTCCTTGTTACCTTGGCGTGCTCTCCTGATGAGACCATCCAGTCTATCTTGGTCACATGCTTCTCTTCTGTGCTCTGGAAAACACATCCCAGCAGGGCTGAATCACCCACACGGACTGTTAGCTCAAGGGAGGAAACAATCAAGTCATTCAGGCCCAAGGAATAATCTATAGAAGTCAAAGGCAAGAGGAGATATCGTTTAGACAAATACCCTCAACAACAAAAATCAGTATCAACACTAAGTAACTCCACATCTTCCCTCCCCAGATGACCCGACATGGACGAAGTCCTCAGAGGCCCATCACTCAAGCCAGTATGACATTCCCAAAGGTAAGCGAGATACTCTCTAGTTACACACAAGCTCCCAAGTCAGAGGGGTTCTGCAATCTTCGTTCTGCAAAAATGCATGTCTGCTCCCATTCTCCTAGCTAGACCCTTCCCCATTTCCCAGAATTCCTTTCTCCAAGCTCCTTTCTAAAGAAAGAAGAGAAACCCTGACATCCTCCTTTCAAGTCATGAATTTAGACATCCATAAACAGGAAATGAGATGTCTCTTGCTCCTAGTTTCCCATGGGTTCCCTATTTGAAAAGCCAATATTTTGGCTTTTTTAAAAAATATTTTATTTATTTGACAGAGAGAAATCACAAGTAGGCAGAGAGGCAGGCAGAGAGAGAGGGGGAAGCAGGCTCCCTGCCGAGCAGAGAGCCTGACGCGGGGCTGGATCCCAGGACCCTGGGATCATGACCTGAGCCAAAGGCAGAGGCTTTAACCCACTGAGCCACCCAGGCGCCCCAATATTTTGGCTTTTTAAAGGTATTTTTGGCTTCCTTCCTTTTTTCCTTTTCTTTAGTTCCTTTTCAAAAGCTTACTCTGACTTTGCCAGCAATTCTGACTGTCCTAGAAGTCCTTATAATTAGGCCCATACAGGGGCGCCTGGGTGGTTCAGTCGGTTAAGCATCAGATTCTCGGTTAGGGTTCAGATCTCATGATCTCAGGGGCCTGGGATGGAGCCCCGCATCAGGCTCTGTGCTCAGCCCAGAGTCTGTCTGTCCCCCAGCCACTCCCCCCACTCACTTGCACATACTCTCTCTAATAAATACATAAAATCTTTAAAAAAAAAAAAAAAGAAGAAGAAGAAGAAGAAAAAGAAAACATTCTTAAAAAAAAAAAAAAAAAAAAAAAAAGGCCAATCCAGAGCACGGCTTTAATTTCCTTTGTGCTTGTCTTCTCCCCACCTTCCCATTCCAGCTTGGCCATCAGCCCTGGCTGCTCAGCCTGAGGGTGTTTTACAGTGCACCACTCCGCTATCTGTATATTCCTCAAGGCCTTTCTCTTTTCACTAAAAGAGAAAACCATCACACGGATATTTCTGTTTTTACAAGATGTGCTCTATGCAAAGAGACAACAACATCAAGAAAGCCACGTTTAGATGCTGGCCAGTTTATGTGGAGGACGAGCCAAGGGAACGCATGTGGGAATAAACAGAAAGCGTGCCAGCCTTTCCGTGCAAGCTGTTGGCCCGAGAGAAGACAGTTCACTTGCTGCCCAACAGCAGGCACACAGTAGGGAAGACGGAAAAGAAAACAGGAACGCTAAACCCTCCAGAGGGGCTTGTTTTGAAAGAAATCAAAATTAGCTCCAAAGCCAATCTGGAATTTTCCTGTAAGGAAGAGCTGAGCAGCCTGACGTGTGGTTAATGGTGTAAGAAGTGCGTTTAATCTACTGTGGAGAGGGCTGTATGTGGAAGTAAGTGAAGGGTAGCTAGAAAGCAGGCGCAGCCATGGGAGGGAAGAGAAGCTTCCACATCTACAAAGGGTCACCTTTGTAGAGAAATGGCTGAAGAAATGACACTTTCTACAAAGGAGGGAAAACCTCTCCACAAAGAAACAGAACGCCCCCTGATACCACCAAGTCACTAGCTCCAAGACTGGTTTGTTAACTCGGGCTGGGACGGTAGAAGCCCGGGCTGCTTCCCACACCTCTGAGGCAATGTCTAAAGACCCCACCCAGAGCGGGGCGCCTGGGTGGCTCAGTGGGTTAAAGCCTCTGTCTTCGGCTCAGGTCATGATCCCAGGGTCCTGGGATCGAGTCCCACATCGGGCTCTCTGCTCAGCGGGGAGCTTGCTTCTCCTTCTCCCTCTGCCCTTCCCCCTGCTTGTGCTCACTCTCTCTCTCTCTCTCTCTGTCAAATAAATAAATAATAAAAAAATCTTTAGAGACCCCAGAGCATGACAGCTGTAAAAACAAATTCTCTTAAATACATCCTATTTTCCGGGGAGGTGAGGTTGGTGTCCATGTGTCTGTCTGCCTGGATGCACACTCTGTTCCCTGGAATTACAGCAAAGGCATTTCTTTTTTTACTTGGCTGAGTCGGTGTTTAGGTTACTATGCCCAGGTACAAATAATAATAATAATAAGATGATGATGATGATGATGATGATGATGATGAAGAAGAAAAATAAGACACAATGAGAGCAAAGAACATCCTGAGTCATTTATTCCTCCCACAGAGCTAGATCTGTGGATAAAGAGAAAAGGCCGGGAGAGAGGTGAGCAGCTTAGAAAGAACCGCTGAGCCACAAGCAACAGCCCTGAGCACAGAAGGTTTGGAGGGTTCGAGAACAAGAGAGTCCACAGCCAGAGGAGGTTTTTAGACGGAAGCAGAGTTTAAGGAGAACTCTGAAGTGTCAGGAAGGCTTAGGCAGGCTTGCCCAGGAAGGTGAGGAAAGGAAAGTTCTTGGCAAAAGACTGTGAAAGAGCCCGGTGCATTTGCAGAACCACAAGAAGGCTGGAATGGCAAAAGCGTGAATACAGCTGTAGGGATTCTGGGCTCTCCGGTGATTTCATTTCCTGATCTGAGACTAGCTGTGGTTTTCAAGTCACAAGTGAGAGTCCAGGAATGCCAGCGAGACACTTTTTTTGTAGCACAAAGGAAGGTCCCAGAACCCCCAGCTCAGGACCCGAAGGCCTCTGGTGTCTAACAGAACAGTGGAAGATTCAGCTTTTCACGAAAGAGTTTGCTCCCCGGTTTCAAAAACAGCTGTTCCAGCAAAATGCCAAAGTTCCAGGTTAGGGTTTCCCGTTTTCAACAAACCAAGGGGGAAATGAAAATATATAAAATTGGCTTTTGAAACTGCACGAGACTTACAAGAAATCAAGTCCCCTCCTTGGTCCCTTGGTTTCTACTTACCCAGTAACACTGGCATCAGGATGAGTTTCAGTGGGCAAAACATGCTGCTCGCCAATTTTTCAATCTTTAGATAAAAGAAAACAAAAATCAGAAAACCGCATCAAGAGAAGTTTGTTAATTTAGCAAACCCACAGTCAGTGTGCCTCTGTGGGCCCGGCCTCTGAGCCTCTGGGATGCAGCCCCGAACAAAAAGGGCAGGGTCCCTGCTCACATGCAGCTTGAAACTGGGGGGGGAGATGGGGGTGGGGGGAAGAGGCAAATGAATGAACAAGAAAGTGGCAGATGCTGGAATCTGCTTTGATGAAACAAAACAGAGCCGTGTTTGGAGAGTCACTTGGGGGCCGCTTTAGACTGGCTGTAAGGGAAGATTAAACGAAAGTGGCTTTTCGAGAGGAAAAAAGCAACTAATTTCAGGATATCCTTGAGGCGACAACCTAGCAGTCCTACAACCTCGGGTTTCACGCAAGCAAGAGATTACAGGAGACTCAGTGTGAAAGTTTCGCCTATCTATCCAACTAAATTAAAATGGCTACTTTTTTTTTTTAAAGATTTTATTTATTCATTTGACAGAGAGAGAGAGAGAGAGAGAGTGAGCACAAGCAGGGGGAAGGCCAGAGGGAGAGGGAGAAGCAGACTCCCTACTGAGTGGGGAGCCCCATGTGGGACTCAATCCCAGCACCCTGGGATCATGGCTAACGGCAGATACTTAACCATCTGAGCCACCCAGGCACCCCCAAAATTGCTACTTTTAAACATACAGAGAATGTTCAGGACATGCGGGAAAGGAGATACATAAATAAGGAGAAAATTTCCAATCTAGTTAATTCACCAAACCCTGTGGCAGAAAGAAGCTGCATGAAATGTCCATGTTGAGGTTTTGGGGCATTTTGCCTTTTTTCCTCACTTTTTTTTTTTTTAAGAGACGGAGAGAGTTGGGAGGGGCAAAGGGAGAGGGAGAGAGAGAATCTTAAGTAGGCTCCATGCCCAGTACAGAGCCAGATGTGGAGCTCAATCCCAGAATCCCGGGATCATGACCTGAGCTGAAACCAAGAGTCTGATGCTTAACCAACGAAGCCACCTGGGTGCCCCTGGCCCACATTTTCTTCATGAAATAGAAGAAGATGAACTCCAAGGAGTTACAATCCAACCAGCCTTGAGTTCCTACCAACTACTGTGGCTGGTTTCAGCCATGACCCCTGCACCCCAAACATCCTGCCACTGAAGGAACTCTACCTAGAATCTTCCAGAAGGAAAGGTCTCTTCCCAGCTCTGCTGGGAAGTCTAGCACATATGGTAGCCATTTTAATTTGTTAAAAATGACTACCTAAGAGAGTCCTCATCTGAGTTCTAACCAACAAAATCCTCCATCAGGAAAATCAGGATCAAACTGTTCAAGGAAGTCCCATCCTAGGACCCACTAATGAGAGATGTCAGTTGGCCTTGCTCAACCTCGGTTCCCTTGCCTATAACATGGGATAATAATGCAAGGATCAAATATGATAATGTAGATAACAGTGCTTTGAAAAGAAGAAATCATTATCACATAAGATCCTCTTTTTCATAACCTAAAACCAGATAGGAAATAGAATTTGTTGTGTTAGAAGAGATTTGGGTTCTGAGCATCTACCTTTAGGTGGAATGGCAAATGATGAGTCAGAATGAACTGGAAACTTTCAAGTTTCAATTTTTGAATCCCATCACGATGTAGATAATAATTAATACTGACTCAGATATACCAAAAGTCACATTACGTTTCCCCCAAACATAAGGACATCTGATGAAAATGAAGATCTCTCTCAAGATAGCCTCAGTCCTCTTCTGGCTCTGATGCCCATCCCACCCCACACATACATGGGTGAGCATGATAAAGAACTTCCTTTATAGTGTGTCATGGTGTCAATTCATCATATCTGGGACTTCCGAGATCTCTGCACTTTCTGGGTGCGTTCTTCTTCAGGGAGTTGGTTGTGCTCCCCCGTCTGTCCAATGCACCATCTGCTTGGAGGAGGAACAACTGACTTACAGGTCTAACACCAAACCCCAGTAAGTCTAGAATCTCAAGAAGGACCATGCATTCTTGTCTACCAGTGCCCCGGGTCTGTGCCACCACACCAATAAGGTGCCCGGTGTAGGCCGCGTAAAGGCTGCTGGCTGCCAATGTGACCATCACATTGAAATCGACTTAGATATCCTACAACTAGGCCATTCTATTCTAAGAGGACACTGGCGATCCCAAAGAGACTCTGAACCTAGTCACCAAACTCAAGTCACTCAGAGCCACACTCAACCCTTTGCAAACAAATTTTAAGAAATGTGCAAACAATCTAATGAACAGAAGATACCATTTTTGGTTCAAACTACTCACACGCACCATTAGAACTCTCTGTAAATGAAGAGAGGAGCAATGAATTCATGGAAAATGCACTGAATTTCTCAAAAATTCTCCTCCTGGGTCAGACCTTCCATTAACTAATCTTTCAATCTCTGGGAAATTGTTCGATCTCCTTAACATTTGAGGATTGGACTTCTTCTCCCTCCTAGTTAATATAGGAGCACACTAGAAATCAGTCATTGATGTGCAATAAGTCACGGAGGGCAATGCACCAGGAACCGCCTGAGCACCCCACACATTGACCCACTTGATCTTCACAACAACCCAACGAGGCCTCACAGATGGGTAAACTAAGGCACATGTGGGTGAAGTAATTTTCCTAATAATGCTCAGCCAGTGACAGGGCCAGGATTTAAACCCAGGCATTCCCGATCAGAACCTGTCCCCTCACGACGAAGTACTGCTCCTCATGTTTGGGAAGCTATCCCATATTTTAGGACCCAACTTCCCTGAACTTCATTTATCCCAACAGGATGAATCTGCTCCCCTGACTGGATGCTCTTCCCGCTGCTGGCTTCCCCCAGTGAACCCCCATGCAGCTTTCAGATTGCAAGCTAACATGGTCTCCGTAAGGACAGCTCTCCTGAGCCACACTTACCAGGTCAGAGTCCCAGCCACAAGTTTAAATAGTTCTATTTCTCTTTCCTTCAGGGCACTTGTCACAATTTCTAATTCTCTATTTACTTGTGTGCCTGCTGGATTAAAGTCCTGCTCTCCACCCTCACCTCCCAAGACTATAAGCTCCAGGAAGCCAAGACCTGAGCCTTTGTCCCTCTGCATGTCCAGTGCCAGCGCAGAGTGAGGCCCAGGGCAGGATCGGGAACCGCTCATCAAAACAGAGAACAAGGGGGACCTGGGTGGCTCAGTGGGTTAAAGCCTCTGCCTTCGGCTCAGGTCATGATCCCAGGGTCCTGGGATCAAGCCCCGCATCAGGCTCTTTGCTCAGCAGGGAGCCTGCTTCCCTCTCTCTCTCCCTGCCTGCCTCTCTGCCTGCTTGTGATCTCTGTCTGTCAAATAAATAAATAAAATCTTTAAAAAAAAAAAAAAAAAACAGAGAACAACACCTAAGAGGGCCCAGGACACTTCAGTCAAGTTTCGATCTCCTTTAGTTGGCAAATATTCAGAAATTCCTATCATATGTGTGTGGGGGGTGTGTGTATGTGTGTGCGCGCGTGTGTGTGTGTGTGTGGATGGATGCCGAAAGCTAGGTCCTGAATGTATATATCTGGATAATGAAATTCAGAATTTTACATATACACAGACTATCTATATAAATGGATCTCCGTCTTTCAAAATCCAACCAAAGCATTAGATGCTCCTTAAGCACATTCATGAGACTTCATTTAAATTCTCAGCTTCTTCCCCAGATCCCACCATCTCCTCAGCAGGTTTCTTGAGGTAATTCTGCACAGTTAAGGCAGCTCATATGGTGGCCAAACATTTTGACCTGAGCTCATGGTGTTTTCACAACAGAACTCCTGGCAAACATCTTTTGTCACCCCTGGGGAGTTGTAACTATAAGGATCCCCTTTCCCATTATTAACAGTGCAGAGGAATTGTTTCCCTTGGCACAATGATGGCAAAAAAACACCTTCAGAAAAGAGACTCATGACGATGAGACTACCACACAGGATGTGAGAATGACCCCCGAATATTACAATATTACAAGACAAGATAGGGAGAGGTGCTGTCTCTGAGTGCAGCCATTTGCCCCCCATAAGGACAACAAACCACTGAGCAAACAGCAACTGCACAGCCTTCCTTCCTATAGCCCGCCTCCCGCTCCCCTCCCCCTTCCCCACCCCCCACCCCCTCCATGCTAAGTCCTCTCAGTTTACCGTGGCCGCACACCTCCAGGCTCTCATTGTTTTTAGGTCTATGAATCCATGTAACCCCTCTACGGTGTGAACTTCTTGAAATGCATCCTCATTTTTCCTTCCAAGACCACTTATCCGACATTGGGCTGGGCGGTTGCATGGCTCCATGTAAGACAGTCTCAGTGACATTGGTCAACCCTCTAACCTGAAGGGGACTTTGGAAATCATTATTGCTGCTCCCTCCTCTACAAAAGGCCTTCATGAGGTCAGAGCTTTGCCAAGGGCATGACGAGCAAGGACATGAGTCTAGCTCTCTTGAGAGGTTTAAGTTTCTGGCTTCTTAAGGTTAGATATTGACCTGTCTAGCAGCCTGTGGGTAATGCAATTGGTGGAGTCCCGACTATTGGTTTCAGATGGGGTCATGATCTCAGGGTTGTGAGATCGAGCCCCATATCCAGCTCCCCACTCAGAGTGGAGTCTGCTTGGGATTCTTTCTCCCTCTCCCTCTGCCCCTCCTGCTAGCATGTGCTCTCTCTCTAACAAATAAATAATTCTTAAAAAGAAAACAACATTGGCCTGTCTAGGGTTGGGAGAAGGGCAACAGTGAGGGAGAAGTGCTGCCGTGAGCTAAAGGACAACTGGTCAGGAGGACAGCTGGTCAGGAGGACAGCTAATCAGTCACTGCTCTACCTAAAAAAACACAGGCAACTTACAAGCTGAAGTCCTACGACCACCAGCATCATCTGCTCTTTCATTAAGAGCAAACCTCTTACCCCACTTTTCTCTGGGGATCTCATCAGAAGTGACTCTACACTACAGAAAGGAAAACTGCACTCAGCAGCCTACCTTATGCCAGTTTCCTCCTACAAATGTGGTCATCAAATTAAAACCTTCAGAACCAGCCTTCTCCTGAGAGAGCCAAGTTTTCATCACTTCTTAAGAAATGCAGAGCAACGGCTTACCCACGATGAGACGATGAGATGATGAGACGCACCCAGGGGAAGCAACACAGTAGCTCTGCTGAGTGCAGTACCGGAGTCTGACGGAAGGTCAGGCTCAGAACAAACCAAATGCATACATTCTGGGGTAGCTATAGAGATGCAAACAGGAACCTCTACAACAAAGTTCTCATTTCTGTCATTTGGCCCACAGCCCAATTCTTATTTATACCTTTGTTCTAAAAGGGAGTAATAAACTCGACTTACTAAGGAGAGCCTGATTCCAGACCAGAGCACGTGCTGTCTCCCCTTCTAGATTATAAGCTCTCTGAGGGTGAGGTCTCCAATGGCATTGGGTAGACATTCTCCGAGAAAGAAACCAGCTGCATGCAAACAGAATACAACAAATTTAAGATGAACACAAAATGTTTTGTTCTGTTTAAGATACAGTGACCCCCAAGTAAACAAAACAAAACAAAACAAAATAAAAATAGAGTGGTGTCTCATTTTTTTCTTTCAACAGAGAAGTGCAACATAGCCAGGCAATCACACAGTCCCTGCCTCCAAAGATAGGCCTGCTCAGTCCTCCAACTTACCATGTTGATCTCCTCTGACCAGGAGACGTCAGCATTTACAGGACACAATAGTGCGTTATCCCAAGAACCCCTTGGGCGATCTGAACGTCGTAGATAAGAACTCAAAGCTTCTTCACTTCAAGACATCTTTTGCTTGTAAGTTGCCTCTTCAAAATAAGTGTTCTCCATACACACCTTCAACCTTGGCTTGACCTACACATGGCCATTTTTTGGAACTTGTCCTGTATCATTCAAAAAGTTGTTGAAGGGGCACCTGGGTGGTTGTCAGTTAAGCCTCTGCCTTCAGCTCAGGCCATGATCTCAGGGTCCTGGGATGGAGCCACTCATCCATCTCCCTGCTCAGCGGGGAGCCTGCCTCTCCCTCTGCTGTTCTCCCCCACCCTGCTCCTGCTCTCTGTCTCTCAAAAAAAAATTGAAGAAAATCTTTTAAAAATGAAAAGTTGTTGAATACTTGTGCGCCCCCAGGACTATGCTACATGGTTGCATGGTTAGCCAGCAATGTACATAAATACTCCCTCCATGGCCTGTTTCAAGCTTGTAAAATTCCTAAAAATTGAATCGGCTCTTGCCCTGTGAGCCAGCTCCCACAACCACCAAATCTATGCACGTTGTTACAGGGGCACCGCTTACAGACAAATGCCCGCTTGCCGCTAGAAACCACAACCTCCTCCCCTTGCCTCTGACAGCTCTCATTTTATATGTAGACACATTCCAAAAAGTAGCCAGAAAGTGCAAAGCAGTTTATTAATTATGATGTGGTAAAGATCTCAAGAATTATGATGTCTGTGAATATTACCCAACAGTGTACACACGCCTACAAAAAAACAAAAACAAAAAACACAGTGAAATGCAGCTGTTAACACTGCAACAGTCCCACACGGGGGTCAAAGGAAGGGAGACGCCCCTTCTGGCAGCAAAGTTTCCAGTAGCCCAATTAAATGATCGTCTTGGTCTGCTCCCTCCGGGTCTTCTTACAGCACTCATCTGGAACCGTAACAGAGTGACACGATAGAACTTTCAAAGTCAGGATTTGGCCTCCAACAATATTTTTACACAGGGACATACAACATTTCCTCTTGAAGCACCAGTGCCCAGTTTGGGAGCTGCAGAGAACTAAGACATCCTCTAAGAAGCCTGGGGTAACAGGCCACTTAAGAAACACAAAACATTTTATAAATTCACATTTGGTAACAGAATTAAGAGCTCAATGTGCAAAACTTACAAGGTAATGTAACCACAAGTAAAGCCTTCAGCAGCCAAAGAAAAATTCTGAAAGGCTTTTCAGCCGGTCTGAAGCTTTCAGAATCAGATTTCCTTTCTAGACAAGGCTGGTCTTCAGACAGTGTGCTCTGTATCCAGACCAGCAAAAAAATAAAAAGAGAGGGAATAGCACCTGAGAAGATATTTTAAAAGATAAAACAAAATAAAACAAAAAAACCTTTATCTTCTTTCCATCCTTAAAGAAAGCAGGTATCCAAACACTACTTTTTGCTCCTTTGGGGGAAGGAGAGAAAGAAAGAAAGAAAGGGAAGAAAGAAAAAGAAGAACGAAAGAAAGAGAAAGAAAGGGAGGAAGGAAGGATGGATGGACGGAAAGGGGAGAGGAGAAGGGAGGGGAGAGGAGGGAAAAAATGCTGTAAGGCTGTAAGCCAGACTCAAGATAAGAGATCAGTGAGGACAGCAGCCCTATGACTGATGTGACCTTTTAAAGCCATGGAGCGGACTGAATAATCAATCAGCTTACTCTCTTCCCATGAAGGATGCTACCGTCCAGTCACTTAAGAAGAAAGGGACTCGTTCAAATCATGATCAAGGCTACAAAATAAGGACTACCAAGTCTCCACGCGGCAGCATCTACCTGGAGGGACAAACACCCCCCCCCACCCCGGATTAATCCTCATCACAGGCCTGAAGGGAAATTACAAGAAAACCCAGATAAAACCAGTTCCTCAATTCATGAAATGCGGTTTTAGCTGGGTTCCTGTAGCACCATCTCTTTCTCAGAGACAGGAGGACCCACGAGAAGTCTGCCTCACAATTAGATCTCTATCTTCCGATCTCCTAGAGCCCAAAGTATTTACTCTCGTTGCTCAGACACATTTTCCCTTCTCTGCTGAGGTGTCAGACCGTCTCACTAGACTGGCCCCAGACGAGCCCAAGCAGCTCAAGAGTCTGAGGCTTAACCACTGGAAATAAACAGTCAATGTGTCTTTTCCTCTTCCACTTCCTTACGTGACCAGACAAAAGCATAATTTCTAATTAACCAACGAGACTCTCTTACGTATGGACTAGATTGACAAAAAAGGCCAGGCCAAACCTATGCCATCTTTTTAAAAGTCTCTACTGATGACTTCCAGAACTAATAACCCACATTTTAAAAAAATAAATCCTGGGGAAGTAACTTTTTTGGATACTGTATACAGTCTATTAGGCTATAATATGGAAACCGCCTGAGCCACCTAGTGAAGGATCTCGGACTCTCCTGCTAAAAAAAAATGATGATGGGAAGAGGGGAAATCTTTTCTCTCTCATAATTGAGAAGTAAACTCTATCGCTGTTTTACAGAGGACTACACTGTCGATCCTTCTGGACATGTCACATGTATCTCTTAATGGCTTACAGAAAATCCTATGTAAATTAAAGTTTGAAATCACTTACTGCGGGAAAATGGAGGAAGTTGATGTAAGGTATCAGAGAACAGAAATGAGTAAACATTATGTACCACCTCACTTCCTTATGTCAAATATTATGTAAAAACCGTTCGTACATAAATACCTTAGCTCACTCATATTTGGCGCATTTTAGAACACAAGAAAGTTCTAAAGCATGACTTAGGTCAACAAGATTATTTCCTATAAATAGAAGCCTCATTAAAGCCAATCCAACACCTGAACTTTGGAGTGGCATTTGTTAAAAAAGAGTATTTCCTTGCAAATAACTGAGAAAATATCTCTACATTCCCCACTAAAAGCCTGTCAAAGAGTTTTTCTTGCCTCTGCTCCAGGACATCAAGAAGGAAACCACCAATCAGTCAACTATAAGAGAGTAAAGTAACAAACTGCACCTAGCAAGACAAAAGGAAGGGATCCCTTTAGGTCAACAGTCCCTTCCTTAATTATAAATTGATGACACTTTAATACTTTAAAAACCCAGTCAAAGCAAACCATGGACTCCCAGCCCTGCCAGCTCCACAGAAATTAGGGTTCCAAGTCATCCAAACACAACCAATGGTGTCACAAAACCAAGGAGTGTAGGCTCTTTGCTGATTCACAGCTGAAAACGTTCATGGAGCAAATAACAAAGGACACTTATCCCCAACAGACACTTCATCTGGTAGCCTATCAGGAAGCTACGAGCTCCATTTCATTTCTTAAAGATATTTTGGCATCCACGGTGTGGCCAACATTTAGGATTCCCCTCAAATAACTGGAAGAAAACACAGAATACATCCAAAAACACAGGGGAAACAAAAACCGTCTTTCTATCCAGGAAGAGAACTCCTTCATTCAACTAGAGTGTAAGTCATTAAAAGGGGTAGTTATGAGTTTCTTTGAAGAGTCCTTAAATAGTTTATAAATATAAAAAGAACATTTCTTCAATAAATAAATGGTTCCTGAAGTCTCTCCTGATGACTTCTAGAATCCTCCAGCACTGCCATCCAAGCCAGCCCTGCTTCTCCGAGAGGCTTTAGCTGCCAGTGGGACGGAACATTTTCTGCTAGCAGGTGACTCTTCTTGTGTCATGAAGACTGTCGTCAGTATGTCTCTTCATAGTCAGAGTCCTGGAGGGAAAGAACAACAGTCGTGGTGTTGATACGTGGCCACTGTCAGAGTTTAGACAAAGATGCCGTGCTAGGACCCCTTGACAGAACTCAGCATGAAGTGACATTAACAATGAAAACAGCACAGGCTCAGCGCACCTGTGTTCCCACGAAGCCTCACGGACCAGCAATAGATTTGCTGTCCTTGGACTAATTAATGCTTTGAAACCCTAACAGTTCCATTTTCCATGGTGGATATTTTTTAAAACCTCAACACACATGAAAAGGCGGCTGTCTGGGGCGTCTGGGTGGCTCAGTGGGTTAAGCCTCTGCCTTTGGCTCAGATCACGGTCTCAGGGTCCTGGGATCAAGCCCCACATTGGACTCTCTGCTCAGCGGAGAACCTGCTTCCCCTCTCTCTCTGTCTGCCTCTCTGCCTACTTGTGCTCTCTCTCTCTCTGTCAAATAAATAAATAAATCTTAAAAAAAAAAAAAAAAGAAAGAAAGAAAGAAAGAAAAGAAAAGGCAGCTGTCTGCATCAGAACATGAGGACTGCAGCCAGGAGTCTGGGTTTCTCAGTTTCTCTCAGTTCCAATGTCAGCTCCACCCCTTGCTGGCTGTGTGACCTTGAGCAAAGTTATTAAATGTCTCTAGGCCTCAGTTTCCTTGTCTGTAAAATGGGGGGGTAATAAAAATACAGACTCATCATAGAAAGGGGACGAGAACTAAATGAGACAGTGTATGGAAATCACTTTGCATCGCGCCTAGCACTGTGTAAGCACTCATTCAAGATTAGCCACTGTTACCATTGTTCTTATTTTTATTGTTTAAACTTGTATTCACTACTTCTAAGCTCAAGTGGCCCATTAGTACTACCTGGCACACCACAATTCTCTGGCCCGTCATTCTCCTGTTCTCCTGGACGACTGTTCCACACCTTTCCCTCCTTCCTTAAACCTCAAACCTCCAGCACCTCCTCCTCACTTTGTTCTCCACGGATGACCTTGCTTTCTCCTGACATTGGGAAGAGAGGGGTCAGCAGGGAGCTCCCAGCACCATATATGTGCACTCACCGGCATCTGGGCACAAGGGCATGGCGCTTCTCACTCTTCTTATGGACCCTCCCTCCCTGCCTTTGTCTACGGTCAGTATCCCTGTTGTGCATCACATCCTAGAGCTCCTCCAGCCACCTCCCCTCGCCCTCCTGCAGCATCATTTTTCCCTTTTCTACTGAATCATTTCCACCAGCACACAAATGTGCTATAATTTCCCCCATCTTAAACAGAAAGTAACTCCTGACACATCTCCCTCCTACCTATCACCCTACTTCTCTGCATCTCTTCACAGCAAAACTCCTTGCAAGAGCTGTTTACACCCACAGTCACCAATATCTCTCTTTGCGTTCCTTCTCAACCTGACCCCCATCGGGCTTTCTTCCCCTCTCTTCTCCTGAAGTTGCTTTTGCCAAGGTCACCTATGACCTCCCCATCACCAGATCAGCCAATAATCAATTGTCAGTCCTCATCTTACTTGACCTGACTCAGCAGCAATGGGCACCGTTAATCACCTTCTTTTTTTTAAAAGATTTTATTTATTTATTTGACAGACAGAGATCTCAGGCAGGCAGAGAGGCAGGCAGAGGGGGGCGGGAGGCAGGCTCGCCGCCGAGCAGAGAGCCCGATGCGGGGCTCGATCCCAGGACCCCGGGATCATGACCTGAGCAGAAGGCAGAGGCTTTAACCCACTGAGCCACCCAGGCACCCCAGTTAATCACCTTCTTTACCTTGAAACACATTCTTCACTCGGTTCCCGGGATAGCACACCCTCCTGGTTTTCTCCTACCTCACTAGATGTTCCTTCTCAGCTTCCTTTACCAATTCCCCTTCCTCTTTCCAAGTCATCAACCTTGGAGAGCTCCAGGGCTCGAGTCTACACCCACTCTACCCGTTCTATCTATTCCACCAGCTGCTCAAGTTAAGAGCTGTGGAATTATCTCTGATTTCCTCTCATTCTTTCACAGATATTTGAAACCCATCCATAAATCCTTCCTGCTTTACCTTCAAACTATAATGAGAACACAGCCACTTCCTACCACCCTGGTTCAAACCAGTACCATCTTCTTTCACTTGTGTTATTGCTAAAGTCTCCTAATTGGACTGACTGTCATGGTCCCTTGACCAAGGTACCACCCATTCTCAACACAGGAACTAGAGTGAGCCTTTGGAAATAGAAAGTGCTTCTCTTCTCAAAAACCTCCAGTGCATCCCATTTCATTAAGAATAAAAGCCCAGGGGCACCTGGGTGGCTCAGTGGTTGAAGCCTCTGCCTTCGGCTCAGGTCATGATCCCGGGGTCCTGGGATCGAGCCCTGCATCGGGCTCTCTGCTCAGCAGGGAGCCTGTTTCCCTTCCTCTCTCTCTGCCTGCCTCTCTGCCTGCTTGTGATCTCTCTCTGTCAAATAAATAAATAAAAATCTTTAAAAATAAAAAAATAAATAAAAATAAATTTAAAAAAAGAATAAAAGCCCAATTCATTCCATTCACTTATTATGTTCATAAGATATGGTATTGTCAGGGCGCCTGGTGGCTCAGTGGGTTAAGCCTCTGCCTTCGGCTCAGGTCATGATCTCAGGGTCCTGGGATCGAACCCCAAGTCAGGCTCTCTGCTCAGCGGGGAGCCTGCTTCCCCCAACCCACCTGCCTCTCTGCCTACTTGTGATCTCTCTGTCAAATAAATAAATAAAATCTTAAAAATATATGGTATTCTCTTTCTGATATCAAAAAACTCTATTCTTCACCTTGCTCATTTCATTCCTGCCACATTGGTCTCCTTGCTGTCCCAAGAACGTGCCCATCATGACCTCTCCACAGAGTTACCACGCCTACCATTTCCTCATCCAGAACGTTCCTCCGAATGTTCCTCCACAACAGCTATATGGCTTCCTGTCTCCTTCTTTTAGGTGTTTGCTCAAATATCACTTCAGTGAGGTATACATCATACCCCCCTATCCAGCTAACCCATGTTCTTTCCCTATTTTGTTTTTCTCCACTGCATTAAGTACCATCTGGTATACTCCACGTTTTGCTTATTTTTAAAAGATTTAATTATTGTTTACACCCGCAATTCAAGAGAAAGTGATATTGAAGCCGTGTCTTGAAGAATGAGAGTTTTCTACGCGTGGAAAGGAATGTAAGTTATTTGAGGGCAGAGATTTTCGTCAGTATTGTTCACATGTGTTTCCTAAGTACCCAGAATCCCATCTGGCACATATCAGATACTCAGGAAATAACTGCTAAATGAATTAATATCCGAAATACGGATGGTGATAAGCGTGATACTAACTTATTTTGTGTTATTAGAGTATTCAAACCCTGAAGGGTTACTGTTAGATTCTCTTCAACCTTCCTCTCATCTTAGCTACTACATTCCAGTCTGCCAGAGAGAAACAAAGGACACTGCAGTGAACAGCTGGGCTATAGCCGTCCGGCCAAGTGCTGAGCTAGCTTGGCAGTGAGTACAAAGAGAAGTCAAGTTTAAACCCCGCAATGATAGGTATGTTTCATATTATATCATAGGTTGCTTTTGACCTGTTTCCAACTGCCCCACATCAGAGTCTCTCCTCCTAGGCTGCTGGGACAGCCACACAAACCTACCAGTCATAGCAAGAGCTTAAAAAATGGAGGGATGACTGCCTTTTGAAATTTAAATCAACACTCAGGTCTTCCAACATGGGTATTTCTTTTTTTTTTTTTTTTTTCTTTTTTCTTAAGTAGGCTCCATATCCAGCATGGAGCCCAACACATGGCTTGAACCCACAACTCTGAGATCAAGACCTCAGCTGAGATCAAGAGTCAGACATTTAACCAATTGAACCACCCAGGTTGCCCCTCCATCATGGGTATTTCTTACTGATAAAGCAATAAGTCACCTAAAAGGTTGTATCACTCTAATTCCCTGGGGAAAAAAACTGAGGCACAGCAGGAAAGTTCGGTTCAAAAGGATTCTGAGTCAAGCCAGCCAAAGTCTCTTAGCACGACCTTGGTGGCACAGGCCCTCCTCTTTCAGGGTGCTCTCTGTCAGTAAGCTGAGACTTCCCTATCCTTCCCCAACCTAAGGACACCACCCTATACCCATGCGACAGAAAACAAAATAATGGTCAGAATTGGTCCCCTGAGACCAAAATGCTTTTGGGGAGTACCTTGGTTCATACCTTGCTTTGGACCTTACCTGCATATCCTCTGCTGCCCTGAGGGGAAAGGATCCCCTTAAGTAAGCGGGAAAATGGGACACGAATGGTGAACAGAGAAATGGCACAGGCTTACCAGGCATTCAGCACAACGCACACAAAGCCTCGCCATGCAGTCATCCCCTTCCTCTTGGTCCGTGCTGGAGAAAAAGGACAAAGCAAATCTGAACAATTACTGTCCTCCATACAGTAGGGGATGTAAGAGCACAGCTGTCCAAGTCAGACAGGTCTCGTTTTAAAGTCCAGTTCTGCCACTCACTAGGAGTATGAGTAGGCAGGTTACTTAAGCACTGGGATAAAAAATAACCACATGCAAACCACGCACCACAGTGTCTGACACGTAGCAAGTGCCCAGTAAGTCGGAGCTGGACCCAATCATTTGCTTAGAAATGTACTGAGCACCAACCACATCTGAGCCATTATGCTGGGCTGGGGACCAAGACATAAAGAAGACACTGCCCCTTGAAGAGCTCACAGCCTCTTGGGTGTGAGGAACCTGTTGCAACCTGACAAGTACATTATGACACAATGTAATAAAATGTTTTAATAAGCTTAAGGTCAAACTGCTAGGGTAGGAAAGAGGAGGGAGTGACCTGTTCTCCGGGAAGGACTCAGGAAGACCCCAGACAGGGGAACGTTTCAGCTGGGTCTTGGAGGATCGGGAAAAGTTTTCCAGGCAAACAAAAGAGGGAAAGAGAGGATTCCAAGCAAGAGAAAAGCATGTGGGGGAAAAAAACAAAAAAGATCTGAGTGAGTGCGGCTTATTTGGAGAAGAAAATATGCTATGTATCTGGGCCGTGGAGTGAATGAGATGAAACGTCAGGGAACAAGGGGCCTGAAGGTTGGAGCATAGGAATCTTGTTAGATGGCACTTAGAAACAGACATCTTGGTATTTCTACCGAGAGTGCCTTACCTTTTGTGGGGGGCTAGAGATTCCTGTAAAGGGCACTCTCTCCCATGAAATAAACACGCATGCACAAATACACATGTGCACACATGCAAAGAAAAAGAAAATATTCCCCAGGGAAGACTTCCTCCCAAGGCCAAGAGCCTCAGATAGAGACGATGGAGAATCAAAACGGGTTTTATGCAGACTTTTGTCACCTGTTTTTAGTAGATTTATTCCCAGGGAAAACTGGGTCAGGCCTGCTCCCTGGCAACATGTTTCATAAATGCCTTTGATAATCACAATCCCATTAGCCCCTCTGAGCATCGGCTGACCAAGAACACATCTTGCTTATTTAAACTGGTTTTCCTGTCCAAGACTATCCTTAAAGCTATCATCATTGCTTAGGCATCTTCTACTGGGACACATCAGCTTGGTGCCAAAACAAGAAGGGAAAAGTAACTGACTTGTCGGAATTGCCCGTTGATTCTGAAGGAATGTGAGAGCCACTCCAGAATTTTTATTTATCTATTTAGAGAGGGGGAGAAAAAGAGAGAGGACGGGGAGAGGGAGAGAGAGAATCTTAAGCAGACGTCATGCCCAGCACAGAGCCTGATGCAGGACTTGATCTCATAGTCCTGAGATCATGAGCTGAGCCAAAGTCAAGAGTGGGACACTGAACCGACTGAGCCAGGCAGACACCCCCACCACTTCAGAATTTATATGCAGACCCATAGCATAGGAGCACCTGAGTAGCTCAGTCATTAAGCGTCTACCTTTGGCTCTGGTCATGATCCCAGGGTCCTGGGATCAAGCCCCACATCGGGCTTCCTGCTCAACAGGAAGCCTGTTTCTCCTTCTCCCCCTCTCACTACTTGTGTTCCCTCTCTCACTCTCTGTCAAATAAATAAACAAAATCTTAAAAAAAAAAAAAAAGAACCATAGCATAGTACAATCTGGTGTTCAAAGCAGAGACTAGGACCCTACATTCACCCCTCCATCTCTCTCTCCATATTAATATCCACTAGTTTCACTTCCAACCTTCCTTCCAGTACTCCTAGAACTAACCTTGGCCTGGGGAAAGAGAAAAGGGGTGGATCAGGGCTCTAGGGACTATCCACAAAGCAGGGGTCTGAAGAGGAAAGGGGTTAACTGCTCCAGCTGAACTTACTCATCGGAAACCTCAATAGACGACTTCTTGTAGCCAGACTTGCTCCTTTTCTTCAGCCCTGCAGACTTCCTCGCCATCCTCACCAGCAGCAGAATCACCACCACAGCGGAGGGCAGGAAGACAAGGATGGACAGGAGGGCCACAGAGGACAGCATGGTGCCAAAACCTAGAAGAGGAAAAAGGGAAGGTGAGAGGGAGGGACGTGCAAAAGGGCCTCCTTTGACATAAGCTACATTTTACTTTTGCTCTTGTATTTCTTCTGATTATAACAAAAATAAATTCATTGTGGAAGAGGTAGAAAGTACACAAAATTACAAAGAACAAAATGCACTCATAATCCCACTAATAGGATTGACACGTTGGTATCTACCCACTCGGTGTTCTTTCTAGGAGTATGCGGGTATGGGTCTGCAGACAGGGAGGAGAGTGCCTAGTTTTAGAAGTATGGATCATATTTTACAGACTATTTCTAAGCTCCTTTTTTGTGTAATAGATGATCAATTTTTCCCACATCACTAAAAACTCCTTCCAAGTGTTACTTTATCATGGGTGCACAGTATTCTACCACACTGAGTAATTTACTGAACCAATCCTGAGACGCTGGACACTCGAGCTGTTTCTAATTCCTTGAAACTACAAGCTACATTATGATGATCATCCTTGTACATAAATCCTCATATTTACCTCTTTTTCTTCAAGATAAAATTTAAAATGGGATTCCTGGATCAAAGGGCACATACTTTTAAGGCATCAGAGTCACGCGACCAAACTATACTCAGCTCCTACTCAGCCTGCAGCATGAACATGCCTGTTACCTTTGAAACCTTGAGTTATCGTCTTAAAAAAAGAAAGAGAGGAAGAAGGGAAAGGGAAGGAGAAAGGGGGGCGGGGAGAGAGAGACAGACAGATTTGAGAAAGACCTGGGAGATGGTTAAGCATCTATCATGAACCATAATGCAGTTCTGTATCTGTACATCTTTGGTTCAAGTCCAACTGAGGATGAGAATGACCACTCAGTAGTCACCCGAGAATAATGAAGAAAAAACGTCAGTCCTTAACCTACTTTTTTGCGCTTTCTTGATAAAAGGAAACTGCAGCCGTTTGCAACATAAAAGAAATGTGCTGCCTCCCACCATTAGAAGGGGCACCCTTTCAACACACGAGCAAGAAGATGGCCTCATAACTGAGCGTATGAACAGACTGGGGAAATCAAATCACACAGATAAGAAGCCTCCATCTTCTTAGGGGTTTGCCACGTGTTCTACAAGACCTCTGGTCACCTGAAGTTAAAATAAGGAATAGATAACGGGGAAACTATAACAATATTTGAATGACAACTTCAGTTTGCAAAATCAAGTTAAGAAATTCATCCTTGTAGACAATTCAGGATGGCAGACTGGCTTACACCCACAGGTAGTTTTGCTTGTCCCAGACCTCTCCAGTAGGCAGCACAGCAGTCACAGAGCCCGGCAGGAGAAGGTCAGTGGCAGTTAGCTTACCCCTTTCTGTGACTGTTAGCTCTGTCGCAGGGATATTGTGGTGCACATCTGGGGGATTCTTCACAGCACAGCTGAATGTCCCATTGTCCTTGAGGGTAGGGTTGCTTATGCTGATAGACGCATCCCCTCTGTATACATCTCCAACCCAGGAAATTCTATCCCGAAATGTACCTGCTGTGGTTGGATACTGGAAGGACTGGTAATGAAAAATCTAAGAAAGCAACACCATAACAAAACAAAACAAAATTTAATTTTGAAAATGTCGAGTTAAAAAGGTCCCAAATAAAATACAAATGCATAATGGGTTTTCTCAGTTGGTTTTTTTTTTTCTTTAATGTTTTGCTCACTTCCATCATTAAGTTAAAAGACAAGTTAATACAACTTATCGGGGGGCGCCTGGGTGGCTCAGTGGGTTAAGCCTCTGCCTTCGGCTCAGGTCATGATGATCTCAGGGTCCTGGGATCGAGCCCCGCATCGGGCTCTCTGCTCAGCAGGAACACTGCTTCCCCACCTCTCTCTCTGCCTGCTTCTCTGCCTAATTGTAATCTCTCTCTGTCAAATAAATAAATAAAATCTTAAAAAAAAAAAATACAACTTATCAGGAAAAGGCCTGACGGAAGTGTCCTAGGATCATAGCTCTCAAAGATCTTTTAAATTCTCCCTGAAGTCCTAAAGCAGTAGATCTCAACCGGGGACAAAGGGGGCCTCCAGGAGACATCTGGCAATATCTGGAGACAGTCTGGGCAGAGTGCTACTGGCATCTAGCAAGCAGAGGTCAGGGATACTGACAAAAATCCTACAATGCATAGGATAGTCCCCCACAACAAAGAATCCTCCAGCTCAGAATGTCAACAGTGCCGAAGCCAAGAAACCCTATTCTAAAGTAGCATCTATTATTTGTGTGGTCCTTTCTGGTTTGCAAATGATTCCCACAGGTTTACTCACTTGAGCCATGGGGCATGAGGAAAACAAGGCCAAAAATTAAGTTACTCAAAGGCACACAGGTCGTAAGTGGGCAGAGGAAGCTTTTGTTTATTTTGAGGATAAACTTTTGTACTTTTGTAGGTACAATATAATCAAGCCTGTTTAGGTTATCTGTCTTGGCAATTAATAAAACCCCAAGCCAAATGATGATCAGGACTCAATGAATGGATGCTGAATTTAAATGGTGCTATTTCAGATTGATGATCAGACACTTTGTCACCCAAAGCACCTCATTATGTCGGGTGGTAGGCCAGGCAGGGACTACAAGACAATATGATCTTTCTCTCTTATGCAAGGTTCAAGCGTTTCCTCTTTCTTTGTTTACTTGGTACCTCCCCCATTTACAACCACTAAATTGCCCAATTTTGAAGAGCAACTTCCCAGAGAAGTTGTTGGATCACTTCTCACTTCGTTTATTCACGCATTCACTCAACGACAAGTCACGGCACACCTACTATGTGCGAGGCACTGTATTAAGCACAAGGATATAGTGAGAACCAAAAAGGCGTAGTCCCTGCTCTCACAGATTTTACAGTCTAAGGGGAAAGACAGATATTAAGAAATAATAACATGTGTGATGAGTGTTCCAAAGAGGGAGGTAAGGGGCACCTGCCTGGCTCTATTGGTGGAGCAGTGACTCTTGATCTCAGGGTTGTGAGTTCCAGCCACATGTTGGGTATAGAGATGACTTAAAAATAAAATCTTTAGGGGCGCCTGGGTGGCTCAGTGGGTTAAAGCCTCTGCTTTCGGCTCAGGTCATGATCCCAGAGTCCTGGGATCGAGCGCCGCATCGGGCTCTCTGCTCGGCAGGGAGTCTGCTTCCTCCTCTCTCTCTGCCTGCCTCTCTGCCTACTTGTGATCTCTGTCAAATAAATAAATAAATAATCTTAAGAAAAAAATAAAATCTTTAAAACACACACACACACATACACATGAACACACACACACAAAGAGGGAGGTAAAGAATGACTACCAATGATTACCAGCATCTATATAAAAGGGTTTGAAACTCCTTACTGACACAACGAGGCCTGCTACGTATCTTTAAGATTAATCCAACCTACAAGTTCCGAGTTAAACTGGTGATTCCCAAATCCTTGCCAACCAATTAGTCTGACAGACTCCTGACTGACGTGACCTGAATTATCACTTGACTGTGACAGTCACGTCACATGACTTGAAAGGTCCATGGATTTACAATGTGCGTGCGCTTGCTTTCTGACCAGGCTCACAGAAGACAGCACCATATAGGAAGTGCTGTTTGCAGTTAAGGTTTCTGACCCAAGAAGATCCCCTGCTGCTTGCTCTGTCCTACTTTTGGCCAAGGAGGCCGAGTCAAACAAGGCCAGCCGTCGTTTTCTGACCACCTGAAATAACGTGAACTGTTTTAAATCTAAAGGAAAAGTAACCATGAATACAGTCTAGCTGCCTTGGCTGGAGCCCCCTCCTGGCTCCTAGCTACGTGGCATTTGCGATGGGTCCTAAAACAAAACTCAAAGCTTAGATATTAAAACCAAAGAGAAAGTTCTCCAATGAAGAAAACAGGATAAAAGAATTAAAGATACTTGGAAAAAATACAATCTTACATACAGCAACATTCACATTCTTGATAGCATCTATCCTGAACTAAAGATATTGCTGGAAGCGTAAAGAGAAAGAGTTTTTTATAGCACCGCAATCTTCAATTAGACATCCACAATGGAATCTGAACCATAAACGGGTTTTATATGTGTGTATAAACTATATTGCTTCTAATACTGCAAGACCATCTGTCACCAACAGTATCTGTCATCCACACGAGGTGTCACCATCTCCTTCAAAGGGAACCATATAAATCAATGCAGGTGTTTATATACTAGGAGACGAGGCTAAGATAAATCCACAGAGTACAGATCCACGAATCGATACACCCACTGAGACAACCTCATACTGCAGGAAATGAGCAGCTTTATGAGAAAAGATGTTTACGATTGGGACCTACAAATTTTTTCTATCCAACAGTCCTGGAGGTACTCTTTTTAGTACCTTGAATCTGAAAACACACAAAAGGAAACAACAAAGGGGAAGAAAATTAAACCACATTTCCTCTGAGTTTCTGACAATTTTTTCCTGTAGCTTATTGACAAGATTCTCATATGGAAAGATAAAGAGTCCTATGTGACCAAATGAATGCCATATCGGGTAGAAGCTCATCTTCTTCTATTTATACAGAAGCTCACGTCTGATTCTCGGATGCAAAGGCCCGAGGTATGCCTGGGACTCGGAATAAAAGGATTCCAGAGCTGCTGACCACTGAAGACTCAAAGACGTTTCCTTAACAGGAGACACTCACTGATTCTGCTCGACTGCTGCCGGGGGGCCGGTACGTCCAGTCTATGGTGAGTCTGTCGGTGACAGACGAAGTCGACTTGAAGGCGCACTTCAGCTTGATCCTCTCGCCCACATAACCCCGGACGTGGGCATCTGCTTTAATCTCCAAGGAAAGGACGATGTGAACACCTGATCAAAACAAGTCCAAACATTTAAAAGGTATGCATTTAGGTGGGATGGAGAAGATGTGAGGGAGCAATACAGAGACACCATCATTTTTGGGGCTCTCGGAGTAATGAGTGAGTATCTTCTCAGCGAGGCCCAGAAGGGCAAGGAGCAGGTATCTGCCTGAATCAGGTGTAGCATTTTTGTCATTTTATAGTATTAAATGGGTGCTTGAGTACAAATCTGAAACCTGATCACAACGGCATTTTTCCAAACACAGACTTGCGGTTAAACGCAGTACAAACAAGTAGGTCCGCCCACAGCTGCTAAAAGGCGATGCCATGCACCCCCCTTGGTGACACACTGACGCCCCAGGAATCATAGCAGCTGCTGTGGTCTGAGGGACTTACCACGAGCACCGCCTGGCTGTAACCTGAAGCTACCACTTTCTCAACCGCCAGCAAAACGAGAACAGGAAATAAGAAGAGGGCACTTCTTCAAGAATTTTAGAAAACTGTTCTATCTGGTCGTGTTTTACCTTCTCCTCTCTTAAAACTGGTTAATGAATCCCGCATCCATTAAAAGTAAATCATGGGAAGGAAAACAGAACAATTTAATGCACTCTAAAATGTAAAAATCAGATACCATATTTACACTCTCTAGAGATTTGACTCTTGCCAAAATGGGCTCATATATCCTGCTTTGGCATTCCAGCTCCCCCCAAACACAGATCCCCCTTTCTTCTGACCAATCCCCTTTTTCAGGAAACACTGAGTAGAAATTTATCTTCCACAAGGGAGCCATTTTTTAGCAAAATCACCAGCACTTTGTTTTTTCTGCTTTCTTCTCCACTGCAACAAACCCTGGTTCTTTTGGCAGGCCAAAGGCACACAGAGCTGCGAGGACTCAGAAGAGAGCAAACCCACACACCGGCCACACACCCGCGGTGCCTCTGGTTGAGAAAGGATGCAAATCCCAGAACTACGGCTTAGGGGCTCTGTGGTCTCAGCAAGTTACTTGACTCTTCAGTTTCTCACCCTGGTGAGAATGCTAATAACAGCACTTACCTTAGGTCAGTGTGAGGAATAAATGAGTTAAAACAGGTGTAACAGTGGAAAGCCTGCCTGCCCCCCAGAGTGAGAGCTCGGTGCACCTCTTCAGTTCTGCCTGCTCTCCCTCAACCTTCCCCATCACAGACACAGCCATGAGTCATCAACACCTTCACCTCTGTCTGCTCTGAATCGTTTTTCTTGCTCCGCTCAAGACAATCTAGTCTGTTCACATTCTTCTTAAAAGGAGGAGACTAAGACTGAGCTCACAGCTCTAATAAGCATCTGACCCATCCCAAAAATGAGGCTCGCCTCTGTTTCCTCCATAGCATCCACTCTGACTTTGCCATGCTAAACTTGTCGTTCCTTCTGTGACTTGGCAAATGCTGTTCCTCTGCCTGGAAAGCCTTCATCCCTCAGCCCCTGCTCTCTCCCAAGCCTTTACTCCCGACCCACGCTACACACCATTCAAGATCCAGCTCTAAAACTGGAAGCTGGAAATCGATGGATAATCCACACTCTCCCCCATTCTATTCCTTATCCTAAAATTTAAGTACGGTTGAGAGATTTGAAAACATGGATTGAGAAGTAGATAAACCTAGACTTGCATTCCAGCCCAGCTACTTTCTAGCTGTAAGATTTTAATCACAGTTACCTAACCTGTCCCAGTTTCAATTTCCTTACTCAGCAGATGGGCAGAACGACCAGACCTACTTCACTGGATCACTTTGAGGGTCCAATGAGATTAAATAGGATAATGCATAAAATGCTTAGCACAGGGGCGCCTGAGTGGCCCAGTGGGTTAAGACTCTGCATTCAGCTTGGGTCGTGATCTCAGGGTCCTAGGATGGAGCCCCATATCAGGCTCTCTGCTCAGCGGGGAGCCTGCTTCCCCCCTCTCTCTGCCTGCCTCTCTGCCTACGTGTGATCTCTGTCAAATAAATAAATTTTTAAAATATTTTTTTTTAAAAAATGCTTATCACAGTATCTAAAAAGAACCTTTCAATAAATGTTAGCTGCTATTATTAAAATGAACACCACAAACACCCAAAAACCTTCAATATTTCCTTCTTGGGCTATAGAATAAAATCCATAAAGTGACAATCTGGCCCCAAACTTCTATCACTCCACCCACCCACCCATCCCATCCCTTTCACCATGCCTAGAATGTCCACCACTTTCCAAATTTACTCTGTCCTTTCATGCCACTGTGCCTCTCTCTGAGTATGGTTTTGTCGGAAAGGCTCTCCCCATTTCTACCAATCCTGCCTGTTCCTACCATACCACACCCCCCAATGCTGACAAACCTTCAAAAACCTGCTCAAACAGCAGTCCCCTCTGGGATGCCTTCCCAAATTCCCTGGTACAGCTCACTGCTCTTTCTTCACTGTTCTCATAACATTTAATCCATAAGGCCAAATAAGCACATGTACCTCAATTCGTAGACTATTTCCCCTGTAACACACAAGCACCTGGAAGGCAAAAATTCAAGAGGGAAGGGAGCAGACAGAGACTGAGAGAAAGAGGTGGACAGGTCACCAAAAATTCTAGTATAGGAACAAAGTGCTCATCAGTCACCTGCTCTCTTCCTATTCCATTTATACAGTATTTCCAACATTCTTAAGTCCTGTACGCTCCTCTCTCTCCAGTGAACCCATTCAGGAAAAGCTCAGTCCTAGATGACCACTTCTAGACTACAGAAGTGGTGTACAATGGCTGGTGTACAAAGAAGGTAAAAAAAATCATACAAATGCATGGATCGTTACCATAAGCAATTCATGGAGTCTATCTACAGCTGAGCCCTTAAGAAAGCATGATGACCCTTTAACCAGCCTCGGTCAGCTCCTCTTTCTAATTCTTCCAACTTCTTCCATTTCACTACCCTCCATGAAACCTCCAAATCCCTCATTCTCAGAAGAAAATGTCTCCTCTTACTCTTTCGAGAAATTTAAGGCTATACAAACTGCCCAGCCAGGCACTCTCCTGTGTCTACACCCATCCATACTTCCAAAGTGAAAGGGTGTGGTATCCCTTTTCCAACGCAAGGCAACCCCTTTGGTTCTGCCCTTAGATTCCTCCCCTCCAAGCCCTGCTTCAGCAGAAAAACCCTCTCTACTCTATTCAAACTCTTCCTATCCAGAGGGCTCTCTCCCTCTTCAACCTCTAAACACAAAGAAGTCTCTCCCATCCTTAAAAACAAATAACAATAAAACAAAATAATAACAATCTCTCCATAACCCTGTGATACTACGTGTTACCAACTACTGCCCGCTCTTTCCTTTCCAAGCCAACTTTGTGAAAGAGCAGTATACACCTGGCATTCCCATTTCCTCCCTTCCCATTCACTTCTGGACCCCACAGAGTACAAAACACACTCTACTACCATTTCTGGTAAAGGGTGTCATGTCTTAAAACTACAAAACCCAGGGGCGCCTGGGTGGCTCAGTGGGTTAAGGCCTCTGCCTTCGGCTCAGGTCATGATCCCAGGGTCCTGGGATCGAGCCCCGCATCGGGCTCTCTGCTCAGCGTGGAGCCTGCTTCCTCCTCTCTCTATGCCTGCTTCTCTGCCTACTTGTGATCTCTGTCTGTCAAATAAATAAATAAATATTAAAAAAAAAAAACACTACAAAACCCAAGGGATTAAAAACTCCACTAGGTTACTTTTCTACCCTGATCTTACTGGATCTCTCTGACGCAGTGACCTCTTCCTCTTCTCTTTCTCTATCCCCAGGCTTCCATGACAATACTCTTATTCATTCACTCATTCTTCAAGCATATAGTTATTGAGGATCTGTTTTGTGCCACCCTCTGAGCCTGGAATTAAACGTGAGCAAAATAAATACACTCCCAACTTTGGACCTTGAAATACAGCAAAAACTCAACCCATTAATCAAATAATCACAAAGACATATGTATAATTACAAATCTGATAAGTACTAGAAGCAAAGACAAAGAGTGACTATGGGAACTTCATCAGTTATGGAGAGGAGCAGGGATTGGTTAACGAAAGCTTCTCTGTAAAAGTTACTTTTTGAGTTGAGCTCTGAAGGAAGGGTGACAAGGTGAGGAGAGGGAGAGCGTTCCAGGCAGAGAATACAGCATATGCAAAGGTCCTGTGCCAGGAAGGAGCACAATCAGCCAAGGAACCAAAAGGAAGGCAGTATGGCTCCAACACAAAAAGCATGAGAGAAAGAAAGATGTGGCTTGGAGGTAAGCGGGAGGCAGATTACACAGAACTTCAGAGATATGGGCCCTTATTCTTAGAGTAATGGGAAAGCCATGGAAAATAGTTAAATGTGGGACTGAGGGAGAAGAGACATGAAGTTTTCATTTTTAAAAGATCACTTTAGGGAAGACACTTAGGAGGTGTTCAGTAAATACAAGGAGAAAACTTAGAAGGCTACTACAATAGTCATATGAGAAATAAAGCTTGAACTAAGTTGGTGATAGTGGACATGGAAAGAACTAAGAATAGTTAGAGTAAAATCATCAAGAATTGGTGGTACATTGGATGTGGAATGTCAGGGAGACAGAGGTATCAAGGATGACTCCCAGGTTTCTGACTTGGTGATAACATTCACTGACATAGGAAAGACTAGAAAAGTACCAGGCAGGGCAGGGAAGAACATGAGCTTGATTTGGGGTAAGTTTAATGTGCCTTTGAGATAGCCAAGAGATAATGTCAACGGAGAGTTGGTGTAGGGCAAAGGTCAGCAAACTATGGCCCCTGAGCTAAATCTAGCCTCCAATGTCTCTTTGTAAATAAAGTTTTATTAGAACACAGCCATATTTATTCATTTATGTGTTGTCTATGGCTGCTTTTGTGCTACTCAAACAGAACTAAGTAGTTGCAACAGATATCATATGGCCCGCAAAGCCTAAAATATTTACTCTCTAGCCTTTCACAAAAGTTTGCCAACCCCGGTTTAGAGCAAAGAAGAAATGTATAGGTCACAGTTATAAGTCAGAATCTCATTAACATCCTCTAGCTAACTCAGCACACTGATTGTTACATACGCATACAAACTCCACATGTGATTTGAGTTAACCCAATCGAAGTAAAAGTTTCAGAAAATTTGCTTGGAAAATTATTTAATGCCTCTATGCCTTGCTCATGTTCCTCTCTATGATGGAATTTTACTCATGCCCTATCTCTAACCTCTTCTTTCAAGATTTAACTTTGGTGGCACATCCAGGACGTCTTCCCTGTATCCTCACAGCAGATTCAGGGCACCTCTTCTGTGCTTCCACATTTCTTAGTACCAGATTCTAAAATTATCTGTTGGGGTGCCTGAGTGGCTCAGTTGGTTAAGTGACTGCCTTTGGCTCAGGTCATGATTGTGGAGTCCTGGGATCAAGTCCCCAATCAGGCTCCCTGCTTCTCCCTCTGACCCTCCCCTTCTCGTGCTCTCTCTCTCATTCTCTTTCTCTCAAATAAATAAATAAAATCTTAAAAAAAATCTCTTCCTTTAAAAAATAAAATAATCTGTTGACTTGTCTATCTTCTCCAATAGACCCTGAGCTCCTCAAAATAGAAACTAGCACATTGTGGATGCTCAGAAATATTAAACTGAACCAAACCAAGTTTCCTTTTTATGAAACAAAAATTATTGCAAAATAAGCATAAAAACTTCAAGTTCTGAGCAAAACTTGGTTACTGAATCAGAGTTAGTACACCATTAATAAATCTACCTACCAACCAACTTCTTGTTAATATATATGAATTTCATATTCATGAGCATAATTTTGCCACAAAGTTATCAATATCTAAAGTCATTTTGCTGAAATCTAAACACTGGATAAGTGGGTCTTAAATTTATAGAGAAAAGATCCATGGATGAACTAAACTAATCTACATGTCAGGATGTTGGTTCCCCTTGGGAGAGAATGGATAATGACTGGAAGGAAGTATAAGGAAGGCTTCTGAAATACCAGAAACATCCTATACTCTGATTTAGGTGCTGGTTACCCAGGTGTGTTCAGTTTCTAAAAATGCATTAAGCTGTACAATTACAATATGTTCATTTTTCTCTATATATATATTATACTGAAATTAAAAGTGTTTTGGGGCACCTGGGTGGCTCAGTCGGTTAACCATCCAACTCTTAATTTAAGCTAAGGTAAGATCTTAAAGTCAAAGGTAATTTATTTTTCACAAATCAACATTTATTACATCTGAAACTAAATTTTTTTTTTAAGATTTATGTATTTGAGGGGCGCCTGGGCGGCTCAGTGTGTTAAAGCCTCTGCCTTCAGCTGGGGTCGTGATCCCAGGGTGCTGGGATCAAGGCCCACATCAGGCTCTCTGCTCCGAGAGGAGCCTGCTTCCTCCTCTCTCTCTGTCTGCCTCTCTGCCTACTTGTGATCTCTGTCTGTCAAATAAATAAATAAATAAATAAATCTTAAAAAAAAAGATTTTTTTTTAAAAAGTGTTTTACAATCAACAAATGTAAAATAATTTGTCTACTCCACTCAAAAAATAAGAAAAAAAATAAATAAGAAAAAAAATTACTAAACCACTGTTACATTCATTTAGAAATTTTCGTCTTACAGGTGCCTGGGTGGCTCAGTTCATTGAGAGTCTGCCTTCGGCTCAGGTCATGAACCCAGGGTCCTGGGATTGAGCCCCACATCAGGCTCCTTGCTCAGCAGGGAAGCCTGCTTCCCCTCTCCCACTCTCCCTGCTTGTGTTCCCTCTCTCACTGTATCTTTCTCTGTAAAATAAATAAATTTTAAAAATAAAAAAATTTTTTTCATCCTAGGCCTAATGTCCTTTGGGATATTTATCTTTTCTCCTGAGTAAAAAAACATTCTTGCCAATTCAAAATAGTCAACAATAGAAATAATAATTATTTTTAATAATAATAATTAACAATTTTTTAAATTTTGGAGGAAAACAAGAAAATCACATTTAAATATATGTAATTTTATACAAAGAAGGAATGAAAAAATATAACAAAACTCCCAGTTTTGTACACCTAATTTTCCAAAATACAATCTGTCAACATTTGGTTCATAAAAGTGCATACTTAAATGGAGGTTAAGTATAAGAACCCTAAGCTACCTGATCTGTTGTTTCTATGCACTAGGACAACTGATGTAACAAGACCATGTTTATAACTTGGAGAATTCAGACAGGCTAATCATTTAATGGGTGCTATCTTTGAAGAGGAAAAGCAAATAAACACTGGTATAAACCCAAAGTCTATTGCCTAACATTTAAAAAATGGGTGAACCTTGAAAACATGTTAAGTGAAAGAAACAAGCCACAAAGGAACATATATTGTATGATCCCATTTATGTGAAATGTGCAGAATAAACAGGTCATAGCCACAGAAAGTAGATTGGTATCTGTCAGAGCGTGAAGGAAGGGAGGAATGGGGAGTGACTATTACTGTGTATGGAGTTTTTCTTTGGGATGATGAAAATATTCTAAAATTGACTGTGGTAGTGATGCCATAAATCGTGAATATATGAAAAACCACCCAATTTTCCCTTTTAAATAGGAAAGTTGTATTGCATGTGAATTCTATCTCAATAAAGCTGCTATTTTTTTTAAGACAAAAAATAATTCAAGTACACATGGGTCATAAAATAAATTTTTACTTTTGAATTATTTGGTCTGCTGTATTTGGCGGATGCTTTTCAACATGAAATGGCATCAAGTTTAAGAAACCACCTATCCTTTCTAGCATTTTTTTTTTCCTCAATGGGACAATATTTGAGTATTTGTGAGAGGGACACAGAGATGAAACTGGAATTATTCGGAGTGATGGTAGGTCAGCCTAAATATTATATTGCAAAAGAATCAGCTGAAAAACTGGACACTTGTGATGACAGAGCTCTGGGAGGGATCAGGGAGTGTGCTGGCAACATGAATATTAGTCATCAAATAAGTAACTTCCTGGCCTTACCCGCTGAGATTTAGAACAAATGAACTCTTTATGTCAAAGGCCCTCTTCAGAAATTCCCACTTACCCACAGGGACATTTTATGAAGTTAACAATTCACTCTGATTGTAGCTCTATTAACACACAAGTTCCTGAGAACACACACACACACACACACACACATACACACACACAAATCCATAACTGCACCCTAAAATGAAGGTAATTAGTTGGGCTGAAATTCATGCAATTTTAAAACTGCATGAGAGCAAAACTTATCCAAACTCTAAGAATATGCCATAGTGTGAAAACTGTACTTAGGATAATTGGTTAATAGATTAAAATTTTTAACAGAGTTGATAGGCTCTTTCTTGTATTTCAAAAATATTAGTAAAATGCTACAGCAGTTGCTTTTTCCTCAACAAAATGCGTCTCTACTGTAACGAAATCACAGCACACCCCTTTCTGGGACGAATAAACATTTTACTTCCGAGGCCCTAACAATCACCTACAAAAAATAAAAGTACCAACAGTCACGATTTTCTTTCGCAAAATTACTGAGACGAACTCCTGAACGCTAGAACTGCCCCTTCTTAATCAGGACATACAGCCCACAAAACCACAGCAGAGACGACGGCTGGTAACTCAACACAAGATAGCACGGGGTCCCCACAACGCCAGAGCCCGCCGTGATCACCCGAATACAAAGCAGTCACGCAAGGTGGTCGAGCTCCCCCGGGCTCAGGAAAGCACTGAGAAGCTGCCAACGGCCCTCAAGTGGGCGGTGAACACAAGAGAACGCGCTGCCCACACCGTCCCACAGCCTGCAGGTCTATAAGCGGTATGGGGGCTTTCCTGAGACCCCCCCCCACCGGAACCGGAAAACCGACCGTCTTCCCCTAACCCCCCCCCCGCCGGAAGTTGGAAGACCCAGCAGGCGCTCTCACCCTGGAAGAACAAGATGCCAAGCAGTGGGAACAGAGCGCAGCCACGGCCTCCAGCCGCTCCGCTCTGCTGCATCCCGACAGCTCTCTGGATGCTTGCACACCTTGTTTACCGCTCCCGGTAACCTCACAGGTGATACCGGAAGTAACGTCAGGGCGGGAGGTGCAAGAACACTTAAAATGGCGACTCGAAGTTGCCATAGCAACGTGGCATCTTTCCAGAGCCACACCTGAACCTGCTCCGACCCGCGATTTTTTTTAAACCTCGAGTAGGAATCAATTATTCACTTTTGCTTGACAATGAAGTAAGCCACAGACTTTGGAAAAATAACAATTTATTTGTATGGAATTCTGTCGTACGAGTCTCATCCTCAGACTCTCCTCAGAAGTCATTTTTTACTCCCTACAGATTATTTTATTTGAACTATCTCAAAATAGGTTTCTATAAATTTAGAGTTAGAAGAGACCTAAGCGATTATACAGGATCAGTCAACAAATAGGTATTAGGCCTTCGTGACCAATGTGTACGTCAAGGGTCTCTGGTTCCTGTTTTGTGTTTAGCTATCACAGCATCCAGCTCAGTACCTATGTAAATTGGGTATTTTTTTAAAAGATTTTATTTATTTATTTGACAGACAGAGATCACAAGGAGGCAGAGAGGCAGGCAGAGAGAGAGGAGGAAGCAGGCTCTCTGCGGAGCAAAGAGCCCCATGCCGGGCTCTATCCCAGGACCCTGGGATCATGACCTGAGCCGAAGGCAGAGGCTTTAACCCACTGAGCCACCCAGGTGCCCCTAAATTGGGTATTTTATTATTAAACTGCTGTTCGCAGTGGCAATGATGAAATGACTACAACATATAATAGAGGAAAAAAGGAATTCTTTTGGTGGGAAAAGTGAGAAAGTAATGTTTTTACAGTGCTGGGAGTGAAATGAAGTAATAGTGTCCCATTCTAATAAAAAAGAGATGGGATGGTACCCTGCTCCGGTCATTAGTCAACCTATCCTCTCGGAATCTGCGTGTATTTAATGAAAACGAGGAGAACAGAAGTATGCTTCAGCTTTTGGGAAAGTTTAATAAGCTCTCATTTTTCAATTCCCATTCCATTACCAGACTTGAGAGCTAGTGATGTTCTCTATTGAGAAGGTAACGTAAGGGTACCGAGCAGAAGAGATGATACCCTTCCTTCAGAAGAGCTCCCAAACTAAGTAATTTGTTGTGCCCAATTCCTGGTTGTCCAAAGCAATGTGGAATACACATTTATCCAGTATAAACTAATTTTATCCATTATTGACTTCCAGGCTCCCTCTAAGAAAATTCCTCAGTGAAGATAAAATATATAACCATCTTTTTTTTTGGTACTTGCTGTGTTAAATATTTAGATTTGTATATAAGCAAATTATATAACTGATAATTCTTTATTACTAAAGGTTATTTACATATGTGTTTAAGGCACAATAAAAAATAAATTACAATACAAAAGTTATCTTTAGGAAGAAGATACTGAACAACAGGGTCATATTAACCCCTGAATAATATTTAGCCAAGACACAAGCTACAAGTTTTACTGGAAAAGACTTTCCATGAGTTTTTAACCACTTCTTCATTACACTTATGGAATATCATCCAAGCCAACTGTTTGGAAAAAATATGTTATTTTCAAAGGTTGAATTATGGAGAAAAGTAGAAAATGTGAGTTAAAGATAGCATAAACCTTAAATCTAACTTTTAGTTTCAAAATTAAGTATTAAAACTACTTTTCAGTGTAATAGACAAAATAAGACAGGTACGGAATGAATTCAGAATCAAGGTTCATGTGTAAATTGTACCAATTATTTTAAAAATACTCAAAAAAATCAAAGTTCAGCATGTTTAAATACAGGTAACCCACCTGAAAATTCCAGTTTGTTAAAAGAAAGAACACTTTTGTCCCAGTCAGTAAAACCCGAAAATACTAGACTATAAAGATGGGGGAGAAGGGCAACTAAACTTTCAGAAGTTTTGTACATTTTGAATAAATGCTGCTCTAAACTTGGGTTTGGAAAGACACTGGGGATATTAAACACTTTAAAAAGCACTCTTCTTTCTGAAGCCCACGTAGAAAGTTTGTTTTCTATACAGTATAAAGGAAAAAACAAAGTTAGTTTCATATTGTTAGTTTTGGTATTTCTTTGTCCCATACCAAATCTTCCCTCCCACAAAGTAAGGAAGTAAATTAAGCAAAATAAAATAAGATAAAGAAAAGGAGAAAATAAGTAATATCATACAGTTCTCAGAGCTTTTTATATAACATTGTACAAAATTATCATCACTTAGGGTTGATTTTTTTCACCAGCCCTAAATTTTTACAGTCATAATTTACTATTTCAGAATCCTCCCATGTAACTGCTTAATGATTCCATTCTTCAAGTGAGCATAGATTTTGCTCAGTTGTTATAAAATAACTGAGTAGTAGTAAGCTAAGCAGCAGTCACCACTCATGAAAAACCTGCACTATGGGTTGTTTTTCACAACACAGAAAAAAAAGGTGACAAGTAATTCATCCTGGGGTGGCACTTGTCAATCTACAAGCATTTATAAACTTTTCTAGCTACTCTGTAATTTAGATTTGTGCTATTATAAAACTTGGATCAACAAAACAAAAAACAAACATCATCTAGGATACTGAAAGAAAGTCAATAAAACAAGATGTGTCCCATCCTTAAGGATAGCCACAAAAAAATCAAACTGTTCTTTAACAGTTTGAATTTAAGATTTCCTGTTAATCAATCAAAAATAGCTGGGAGAATTAGCTCACTTTTAATTAAAAGTGAAAAGGAAAGAGTAAACACATTAACTTTAGTAGCAAAAATAGTACTCTAAAGAAACTAACATGTTAAAGGAAATGTCGTGACAGACACATTGGCTTTCATCTCATTGGATACCAATGTATGTGTGTACAATTAATCATCCACAAGGAGTGTCTAAGGGCAAAAATATAGCTTCTTAGTACAAAAGGTTAATAATGAGCATTTGAAAAATATTTGCACTTTGAAATTAAAAAAAAACTTAGTAATAGTTTGTGTGTGAGTTTGATATCTGCCAGCTCCAGAGAGATGTTGCTCCTCGAGATGGTTATGTACAGCAGAGCTGGTTGGAAGCCAGGTCACAACTGGAAAAGCCAAAGAAATCTTCCATTAACTTCAACTTATCCTAGGGTTCTTGTTCTTGGGAATCTTCAGCTTCCTGAAATATAAAAGCTTAAATGGATAACACATTTGGGAAGAGTGCAGAGAGGTACCTGGAGTTACAAACTAAATATATATTATTAGGCATGTTCTCCCCTGTGAAGGAAAATATTCTTAATGTACTTGTTCTCCTCCTAATTCACCTTTTAAAATGTGTTTCTGATCCTTATATACTTCCCAGTGTCAGTATCGTGAATTCATAGCCTCTGCCTTCCATGGATATTTGGAAGACCCGTAGCGCACGCACACACATGCATGCCTTCTCTCTCTCTCTCTCTCTCTCTGTCCTCTTTTATTATAAACAAAATCAAGCACATAGAAAAATAGAAAAGACAGTGTTTAGAATTTACCCATCATCTAATTTTAAAGCATTTTTTGCATTATTTGCCATATATTTATTTGGTTTTTAATTTGTTACATATAAGCATATATAAATTTATATCTAATAAATGTATATTACATATAAATGTATACTTAAGATAGGGACATTTTTCTCTGTAACCATAATACTTTTATTATACCTAATAAAATTAACAGTAATTCCCTAATATTATCCATATTCAAACTTTTCAAAGACTCCCATTGTCCCCCCCCAAATCTTCTTACAACTGGTTTGTTCAAACCTAGTATCCATCCAGTGAGGACATCCAGTCACACTGCACTTGATTGTGTTAGTTCCTTAAATTTCTTTTCATTTCCATCTTCATTTTCCATGACCCTGACCATTAGACCCTTTTGGTATCCTAGATGATGTTTGTTTCTTGTTTTGTTGATCCAAGTTTTATAAAAACCATATCTGCTTGGTTTTAAAAAGGCAACCTCCCTCAGTAAAATCTCTCTCTGATATCACATTCTTCTGGTTTTACAAATTCTTCTGGTTTTACAACAGAATAATTTCTTTCCATATTCTGTTTTATAAATCCTTGAGGTCTTTCCCTGAACATTAGGCTACAAAAATGTGACTCTTTTTGCAAATAATAATAGTGGACTTACTTCAGAAAATAGAAAAAATTCTGATCATACAAAAAATAAATCATCCTACCCTTTAAGCATAATAAACCTGAAAACGGGGGCACCTGGGTGACTCAGTGGGTTAAGCCTCTGCCTTCGCCTCAGGTCATGATCTCAGGGTCCTGGGATCGAGCCCCCCATGGGGCTCTCTGCTCAGCAGGGAGCTTGCTTCTCCCCTCTCTCTCTGCCTGCCTCTCTGCCTACTTGTGATCCCTCTCTCTCTCTCTGTGTCAAATAAATAAATAAAATCTTTTTTAAAAACCCTGAAAGGGCGCCTGGGTGGCTCAGTGGGTTGAGCCGCTGCCTTCGGCTCAGGTCATGATCTCAGGGTCCTGGGATCGAGTCCCGCATCGGGCTCTCTGCTCAGCAGGGAGCCTGCTTCCCTCTCTCTCTCTCTGCCTGCCTCTCCGTCTACTTGTGATCTCTCTCTGTCAAATAAATAAATAAAATCTTTAAAAAAAAAACCCTGAAAACGGGAAAATAAAACTATACAGTACTAAAATTAGATTCATAGTTCCAATAACTAGATGAATGGAGTTGAAATCAATTCCAAGTAGTATAAAAGTTCTGTCAAAATGTCAGACATATCTATTGAGTCATTCTCTTGATGCACGATTGGTTTACAACAAAATGAAACAAGCAGATATCACTTCTTTCATTTAAAAAAATAAAGATTTATTTACATGTTGAAAGTGAATTATTCTTGGTCGTGGTAAACATACCCACACACCCTTGAATAATCTTATAATTCTCCCATCATCAATGGCCGTATGGTCTAACAGCCTCATCCTTTGCACAAAACCCAAAGAGGAAGCTGTCCATAACACTAGTAGAAGACTTATATCTCCCTGACCCGGCTCCTCCAGTTTCATGCAGGAAATACCTAACAGTCCTAAAATCTGGGAGATCCACATTAGAGATGGGCCAGATGAGAAAGCTAAGGAAAGAAATCAACTCATTTATGAGCCTCACCATCTAAGAATGTTAGTCTGTGTCTTCTAAATAAATGGAGACCTTTTTTTCTTGATTGAGCCTTTCCTCTTCTTTTCTGTAACGAAGTAGAAACCAATATCAGGTGAAAATGATAAGAAGCAAAGGAGGCAAGTCTTAGAAAGCAAGCTCCGGGCGATGTATTTTCTCCCATATTTTGGAAAGTGTTACCTGCATCTGGGAACAGATCCAAGCTTACAGAAAGCTATGCCACTAGTGCCATCTATCTAATAATACACATGCCTCCACATGACCCTGGGTCTCTGAACTTCTACATGCCTCAGAATACTTTTAGATGGGAACCTGAAGGAGGTAAAGCAGACACCTTAGTTTATCATTAGTATCCGGCCTCTAATTCCATTCCTTATTCAGAAAAGAAAAAAGAAAAAGTTCTGTGTTGACCTAAAAGCCATCTTTATTGCTTTGTGGTCAATCTCTAATGTCAGAGTTGGCTTCATTGGGCATCTTAAAATCAATTCTTTTTACTTCAGTAAATATTTCTTTAGGAAAAGAAACAAACAGTGCTGGGACAACTGAAAAACTGCAAATGCAAAAGAATGAATTTGGACTCCTACTTTACTCCATATACAAAAATTAACTCAAGGGGCGCCTGGGTGGCTCAGTGGGTTAGGGCCTCTGCCTTCAGCTCAGGTCATGATCCCGGGGTCCTGGGATCGAGCCCCACATCGGGCTCTCTGCTCAGTGGGAAGCCTGCTTCCCCCTCTCTCTCTGCCTGCCTCTCTGACTACTTGTGATCTCTGTCAAATAAATAAATAAAATCTTAAAAAAAAAAGAAAATAATCATAAATCTTCAGGACCTTAGGTTAGCCAATGGTTTCTTAGGTATGACACCAATAGCAGAAGCAACAAAAGAAAAAAATTGATGATTGGGACCTCATCAAAATTAAAAAGTTCTGTGCTTCAAAGGACATGAAGAAGAAAGTGAAAAGGCAACCCACAAAAGACAAACCCAACTTGTAAATAGGCAAAATGTTTGAATAGATAGATCTCCAAATAAGATATGCAAATGGCCAATAAACACATGGAAGGATGCTTAACATCATTAGTCACTAGGAAAATGCAAATCAAAACCTCAGTGAGATACCAATCTACACCCAGTAGGTGGCTATAATCTAAAGGTCAGACAACAAGTGATGTCAAGGACACGGACCAGTTAGAAGCTCCTATGTTGCTGGTAGGAGTATACAATGATGTAGCTGTTTTAGAAGACAGTCTGGCAATTCCTCAAAAAGGTAAACATACAGTAACCATATGTCCCAACAATTCCAGTCCCAGGAGAGTTGAAAACACATGTCTATGCAAAAATTTATAAATAAATGTTCATAGCAGCATTAGTCATATTGGCCAAAAAGTAAAAAAAAAACTAAAAGTCCATCAATTGAATGGATAACCAAGTGTGGTATGTACATGCAATGGAATATTATACAACCATAAAAAGGAATGTAGAACTCCTACTACTATATGCTCTACGTGGATGAACCTAAAATATTATGCTAAATCAAAGAAGCAGAAATTAGAGGCCACACTGTATGATCATCCATTTACATGAATGTCCGGAGTAGGTGTAGGAATGCTGGCCATGCTGACTCTATCTTTGACCCACCATCTTGTTGTAGTCTCCTTGATGACCTCTTCATGGCTACATGTTCTAGAGTAATGTATAAGATGTAATGTAAAAGTTAAATGTGAAAACTCCATACTCAACATTCCAAAACCAGAATATCCAGGGAGCCTGTTCTGGATTTCAACGGGCCCATTAAGATACTGGTGCAGATAACAGAGTTTTCTACAGAGGCACAGGTGGTGCCAGAAAGTCTGTTAAACGTTAGCAACCAATCACGTGTATCTGACACTCCCCCACACGTCCCGCTCCTTTAAAACCAGCAAATGAGGGTCACCTGGGTGGCTCAGTCAGTTAAGTGTCTGCCTTCAGCTCAGGTCGTGATCCCAAGGTCCTGCTTCTCCCTCTCCCTCTGCCTACCACTCTGCCTACTTGTGCTCTCTTTGTCAAACAAACAAACAAATAAATAAAACCAGCAAACTAAAATGTGGGACTTCTGAGGAGACTACCTGTGCAGCTGTCCAGATGGCGGTCCTCTCGACCCCCCCTTCAGTAATCACTCAACATAAAACTCGGTGTATTCTGTATGGGGCTGCCTACTTCATTAATGTTTCAAAGTGCTTCCTCAGCTTGGGGGGCACTCTACATTCTCCTCACCTTTGAACAATATGCATATCCACAGAAAGATTAGTAGCTGCCACCAGCAGGTGGAGGGGACAATGGTAATGGCTAATGGGTATGGAGTTTCTTTTGAGGGTGCTGAAAATTCTGGCATTAGTGGTGATGGTCACACAACTTTGTGAACATTAAAAAGGTGAATATTTATGATAGGTCAATTTCATCTCAAAAACTATGAATTTATTGAGCACCTTCTATCAGCATGGCTGCCTTTCCTAGACACTGATTTGACCCCTGCTGACTGCCCAGTGATCCTCACAAATGTACACTTTACATTAAAAGTAAGGAATTGCCTAGAAAAGTTTTATGTAAGCAGATTCTGATAATATCAAATCCTCCATAATAAAGCCTATAACGAAATCTTCCATAACATTAAGAAAGCTTTTGTAGGGCACCTGGGTGGCTCAGTGGGTTAAGCCGCTGCCTTCGGCTAAGGTCATGATCTCAGGGTCCTGGGATCGAGGCCCGCATCGGGCTCTCTGCTCAGCAGGGAGCCTGCTTCCCTCTCTCTCTCTCTCTCTCTCTGCCTGCCTCTCTGCCTACTTGTGATCTATCTCTGTCAAATAAATAAATAAAATCTTAAAAAAAAAAAGAAAGCTTTTGTAAAGTTACTAAATCACACCCCTAATTTATCCATCCTGTGAATTTAAATTTTTTACAAGACTTACTCAGAGGGAAGAACATCTGTTCAACAATCATTAAAATACCAAGAGTCATGATAGAAGAGTGTTAGAAGACTTCCCAGAACTGCCCAGCCTTACGGTTTTATCTCCACCACTTTATGAGCTCTCTCAGCCCATCGTTTCTTCCGGAAATGCTGGACGAGGACCACCACGATTACGATTATGACCATCAGTGCACAGGCAGAGCCAATGGCCAGGGCCAGGAAATAGATCTCAGAGAAGCGGACTGTAAGGAGAAAAGGCGGATCTCATGTTTCTAAAAAGAGAAGGGACGTGATGAAACCTAAAGTGCGAAGAAGGATGTATTTTTACCACTAAATGGAATCTTCCTTTCTCCTACCGTATGACCATGTGACCTCTAGGAACAATAAGCAAGCCACATGAATTACTTTAGTGGTTCTCAAACTACGGTGCCAGGAGTAGCAGCAGAGTGCTCTTAAGAACTTTGAAATGAAAATTATCAGGCGCCTGCTGAATGGCGGGGCGGGGCCCAACAATCTGTTTTAACATGTCCTCCAGGTGATTCTGATGCAGCCTGAAACTTCCAGAACCACCGAGCCAGTTGAACCACTTTGTGGGGTAAGGTTAGTGCTGACCTCATCAAACCCAGAGCCGTTTCTCCTCGATTTCCTCTCACCTCTGGCATTCAGTCAGTCATTGATTCCAGCTTATTAAGGACCTACTATGTTCAGACACTGCAATGGAAATACAAAGCCAAAAAAGGCATTACCTTCAGGGAACTCTTGCCCACCCGGAGGATAGGCAAGTTAATCAGTAACTATAGTCTAGTAGATAAAATGATGCAAGAGGGAACCCAGAGGGAAAGGTCCCTAAACCAGGCAGAATCTGTGAAGCCTGGGTCTCTTGGCTCTTAGTCTGTTTTCTGATTTAAGCTTCAGTAAACCCAGGGTGCCTGGGTGGTTCAGTCCGTTAAGCATTTGCTTTCAGCTCAGGTCATGATCTCAGGGTCCTGGGATGGAGACCTGAGTCCCTGCTCAGCGGGGAGTCTGCTTCTCCTTCTCCCTCTGTGCTGTCAAATAAATAAAATCTTTTTTTAGGGGCGCCTGGATGGCTCAGTGGGTTAAGCCTCTGCCTTCGGCTCAGGTCATGAGCTCAGGGTCCTGGAATCGAGCCTCACATCGGGCTCTCTGCTCATCGGGGAGCCTGCTTCCCCCTCTTTCTCTGCCTACTTGTGATCTCTCTGTCAAATAAATAAATAAAATCTTTTTTAAAAAATATTTTTTTAAAGGGTTGCCTGGGTGGCTGGTTAAGCATCTGCGTTCAGCTCAGGTCATGATTCCAGGGTCCTGGGATAGAGCCCTGCACTGGGTTCCCTACTCAGCAGGGAGCCTGCTTCTCCCTCTCCCTCTGCCTGCAGCTCTCCCTGCTTGTACTCTCTGTGTCAAACAAATAAATAAGATCTTTTTAAAAAATCATTTTTTAATTAAATAAATAAACTTCAGTAAACCCTCAGCGCCAGAAAAGACATTAGAAAAATGTCTAAAAAAATAAAAAATAAAATTAAAATTAAAAAAAAGAAAAATGTCTAGCCCAGGGGTTCCTGGCCTGCAGTCCATGAAGGAGGATGGGGAGAAAGGGGGGCCACAAGTCCAAAAACCCCATGTCATATTATGTGTATGTGTACATTTTTGTGGGAAGCAGAGTTGCAGATTTCATTAGATTCTCAGAGCAGTGATCACCGTATGTTTAAGAACCACATGTTCTTGTCTAACCTGTTCATGCAGGTTAGATGCAGATGAATTCAGAAACTGAGGTCCCAGGACATTCTATTACTCCTTTCAGTATTCAAATGACTTCTCCAAGGTCACAGAGCTCTATTGATGGGGCCCCAAGGATGATACTAGGAATGAAAGGAGGAAAAACCCTACCACTTTACAGGCTTATATATTTTGGGTAGTAATATTATGTGTTGGTTAAGAGCATGCACCAGAATTAGGTCCAGATACCAGCTCTACCATTTACTAGCTGTGTGATTTGGGGTAATTAACTTATTTGAGTCTCAGTTTCTTCAAGGTATTAAGCAGGGGTAACAATATCCATTTCTTGAGTTCTTATTTTTAAAAAATCTATTCCTGGGATGCCTGGCTGGCTCAGTCAGAAGAGTGCACAACTCTTGATCTCAGGGTTGTGAGTTCAAGCCCCACATTGGGTGTAGTAACCACTAAAATAAGTAAACTAAAAAAAAAAATTGTATAAATTGTTCCATGGTGTGTCTACATGTAATAAACACTCAATCTGTGGTCACTATTATCATTTTCAATGCAAACATATTTTATTCAGTGCAGGTGAGAATCTAGGGAATTTTTACATCTATTACATCTATTATCTCATTTTATCCTCACCATAATCCTCACTCTATTATTCTTAGTGTAAGGAGAGAAAGGAAAGATTTATTGACAGTTGGTAAATGATAACAATGGCTCAAACCCAGATTTACAGCTCTGAAGTTTTATGGTCTTTGCTTTTTATTATCTGGCTCGGTTCCCGGGTTTGCCTTTACAGGATTGCAAGCGATACGGTGCATTCATACAGCTTTGGAGTTAAAAGATGCTTGGGATTGAGTTCTACATGAATCTGTACAAGTGACTTAATCTCTGGGAGCCTCAGTTTCCTCATTAGTAAAATGGAGAGCACTGAGAGCACAATAAACTGATGTGATATATAAAGATGGAAATATGCAAAACCGCTGGCATGTCGCAGGACTTAATAAAGGAAAGCTTTCGATATTGGTATGTGCCGCCTGGCATGGTCCTATGAGTTAAATGAGCTAGTGTGTTGGGGCACCTGGGTGGCTCAGTGGGTTAAAGCCTCTGCCTTCAGCTCAGGTCATGATCCCAGGGCCCTGGGATCGAGCCCCGCATCGAGCCCCGCATCGGGCTCTCTGCTCAGTGGGGAGCCTGCTTCCTCCTTTCTCTCTCTCTGCCTGCCTCTCTGCCTGCTTATGATCTCTGTCTGTCAAATAAATAAATTAAATCTTTAAAAAAAAATGAGCTAGTGTGGGTCCAGTGTGGGACAGTGCCTGACACAGAATAGGTACTCAATATATATCTGGAGAATAAATGAGTGAATGAACGGATCTGATGTTAGCCTTTTACCAGAGAATTGCTTCCTTTCCGTTTTACAGTCTCAATGCCATTTCTGTAACAGATTCCCTCCTCAGTTTGCTTAACTCTCTGTTTCTTTCCACAGCCAAACAAAACCTTTCTCTTTTTACCCCTCAACTCCTCAATCTCCCTCTGTAGATTGCGGATCTGAAGGGCTAGCCCCGCTCTCCACCCTTTTAGCCACCACAAAAGATTACCCCCCTCTTTTCAACATGCTCTCACCCTTCCCCAAACCGTTCCCCACCAACCCCACACAACCTACCAGTGTGCACGACGCTGAGCCGAATCTCCCCTATCAGCCCATCAACGTCAGGTGGGTTCTTCACCTGGCAGGTGTATGTCCCATTGTCATCAAACTGCAGCTTCCACAGGATGATGGAGACGTCATACCGCTCAGGGTTCCCGTCCCACACCACCCGATCCTTGAAACGCCCGCTCATGGGTTTGAAGGGATCCACGTGGTAGTAGAATACCTAGAAGGCAGAAGCAGCCAGAAGTCTTCTTCAATACGTGGGCAAGAAGGCTGAGGTGGAGTTAGCCAGACTCACTGCCCCATCTGCAGCTCTCTGCCTAGAATCTCCGGCTCTCAGGGCGCCTGCGTGGCTCAGTCGTTGAGCGTCTGCCTTCCGCTCCAGTCATGATCCCGGGTCCTGGGATGGACCCCAGCACTGGGCTCCCTGCTTGGCGTGACGCCTGTTTCTCCCTCTCCCACTCCCACTTCTCCTGCATGTGCTCTCTCTTGCTGTCAAATAAATAAATAAAATCTTAAAAAAAAAAAAAAGAACATCTTGCTCTCCCACTAATGGACCTCGCAGTTCTGTCTCTGTCCCAAGAATTGTTTCTCAGCTTTGCCCTGCACTTGTTGCTAAGAAAAGCAAAGGGAGGGCGAGGAGAAACAAACTGGCTTATTCTCCCAACCAAGGTCCCCTGGCCAATGACAATAATCTACTTACAAACTGCTCAGGCCCCCCATCTCGAGGCCGGAAGTTCCAGGTCACCGTCAGAGCATCACCCACGGGGGCAAAGCTGGAGAAAGTGCACTTTAACCGAACATCTGTCCCATTGACAGCCTCCAGCGCTTGGGAGGTGTAAATTTCCACCGCAGCTATTGGCCAAAGGGCCGCCGCCAAGAAAAGAAAAAGGGAAGATGTGTATTAAGAGAATTTCTGGGGACACTGTCAAAATAAATGTCCGAGTGAGGCACGAAACCAGAGATGCCCCAGCTCTCAAACTTACTTCATCCTGAGTCTGCATACTCCCACCTACGTGCCCCTGGGACCTTCCCATGCCCCCTGGGACCTTCCCATGCCGTAGAACAACCAAGAATACCATTCAGCGAGCCTTCTTAGTGCCCTCACTTTCTCCACGGCACCATACCCCAGCCTTGGGGTACCCCCTTCAAGCTGTTCTAAGGAACTACAGATGTCGGTAAATAAAATTGAAAACAGAAACAAACAAATCAAAACTAATCATAACATGAATCAGACTTGGATTCAGATTAAACATTATGTAGAGTGTGAATCATGGTCCCCTAGAAGTTTTCCGGACAGGGTCCTTCTTACGTCATGAGGTCGTACTGTTGGTAGCCTTCTGCGGAAACTGAGTTCATCAACCCCCGCCAGCTTCTGCTTTTGCACCCCTGGAACGTCTATACCACATGGCTTTTTTTTGTTTTTTGTTTTTTGTTTTTTGTGTTTTTTTGTTGTTGTTTTTTTTTTTACCATGACATTTACACTGAGAACTTGCACGTTGGGGCAGTTTCAAAATTATGGAGGGGGAGGGGAGGGTCCTCTCTCCTTAAATTCTCTGCTTTTCCAGGGCTGCTGCGAGTCCCCGATGAGACACAGAAATCCTGGTGCCAAGTCTTGCCTGCAGTGGGAGGTTGAGAGCAGCCAGACGGAAAAAAAAGAAAAAAGGCTTGTAACCTGAGATTAAAAAGCCCTCTCTGTGCGGGAATCACCAGCCGCCGAAACACACCTAAACCTGTTTGTCCAAAATCAGTTCTCCAAAAACAACCCACCAACTTCAGTTTCCAGTAAAGTCAAAACCAGAACGCACAGCCACTGTGGCTCAGGCTCCCCCACAAAGCTCTTGCGACTTCGGAGACACTTAGCTAACTCTCTGGGGTAGGCTGGGAAGGAGCAGAGGCTGAGAGAAGCCCGCCGGCCCTTACCTGTGAGCTGTATGCCAAGGAGAAGCAGCCCAGCACGCGAAGGGCTCTTGCCATACATGAGGGAACCCAGCCCTGGCCGCGGAGACCAGACCGGGCAGACCGAGGGCTCCAGCAGCCTGCCAAGGCCACTCCGGTAAGAACAGAACTGCGCTGCTCCCCGGAGAGAAGAGCCAGCCCCTCACCTACTGGGAGGCTGAGCGCCAGTGCCTCTGACTCACCCCTGCTCCGCTGCCGCTGCCGCACTTTGCTGGAATGACAGGTGGGGCCTCAGCTCCCTACTGCCCTCCTCCTTTCCTCCCTCCCGCCTTCTGTGCTACAGGCAGTCCGCACTTCGTTCCAAACCCTGCAGTCCACTCTCTACTTTCCAGTTCCTCTGATGGGGTTCTGGCCTCTGGATGGCCTCAGAACCAGCCAGAGGATGTGATACGAATCTGGAACGTCCCAGGCTGCTTTGGGTCTGGCCCCACACACACACCGGTTTTTTCTAAGCAGGCTTCCCGCCGACCTGGGAAGTGATTGTTGAAATCACCTCGCAATGATTCCGCTTCCCCAGCACCTCCCTGGGGCCATGGGAGCCTAGACCGGATTCCCCACTCCAAAGCACTCCGAATGCCTTAAGGCCCTCTCCGACAAAAAGTCCTCCAGTTTTATGCCCTCAGTTTTTAGTCGAACATTAGCACAAGGATCTCTGTGCCTTTTCTAGTTTGTAGCTTTCTCCAGACACCCACCTAAAATAAACCGGTCCAAACACATCTCCATGTTTAATGATGCCTTCACTTTGAAGAACTTCAAGAAGAAGCAGGACAACAACCTTGCCCACGTAAGCTACTAGCTCAACCCAGTTCACCTCCCCAATATTCCCATGAAGTGTTGTTAAGGGGATACTAAGAGCCCAGAGAAGGTAAGTGATTTGCCCAATGTTGCACAGCTGGTAAAAACCAGAACTTTTGTGACTCTTAAGTCTAATGCTCTTCCTGCAAAATTACACCCAGCGTGAACCATGGACGCAGAGGACTCTCAAGGAAAAAGTTTTCATAATAACTTTTCTGTGCCTCAAATTTCATCTGCCATTTTTAGGGCAGCCATCTGCCTAAAAAATCTGGAGAGCTGAGGAATTTAAATGAGAAAAGGTGCCTCCTTGTCTGGAAAGAGGGTGGCTAATTGTGACAGATCAACGAAGCAGGTCTCGAAACAGCCCCAGAAGACAAACGAAGGTTACACCTTGAATGAAGAAGCAGCTTGAGGAGGAATCTAACCCTGAGCAGAAAAGAATTACCCTAATCCCCGGGTTAGCAACCCAGAAACTGAGGATTCCTGTTAAACCCTGGAGCGGGGAAGTGGCCAGAAAATGGAGGAAGGGACAGGCTGACTGGAAAAGATAAAACTTCATAAAGAGGGAAGAAAATTCCACCAAGGGAGAGGCAGATTACAGAAGTGGAAAAGAAAAGCCAAAAAGAAAAGAAAAGCAGAGGCGCCTGGGTGGCTCAGTCGTGAGGCCTCTGCCTTAGGCTCAGGTCATGATCCCAGGGTCCTGGGATAAAGCCTTGCACTGGGTTCCCTGCTCGGCAGGAAGCTTGCTTCTCCCTCTCCCACTCCCCCTGCTTGTGTTCCCTCTCTCGCTGTCTCACTCTCTGTGTCAAACAGATGAATAAAATCAGAAAGAAAGAAAGAAAGAAAGAAAGAAAGAAAGAAAGAAAGAAAGAAAAAGAAAGAAAGAAAGAAAGGTAGCAGGAGAAAGATGTCATGACCCTAGAAGGAAGGAAGGGAGGGAGAGAGAGGGAGAAAGGGAGAGGAGGGAAGGAGAGAGAGAAAGGGAGAGGAGGGAGGGAGAAAAAGAAAGGGAGAGGAGGGAGAAAGAGAAAGGGAGAGGAAGGAAGGAGAAAGGGAGGGAAGGAAAGAGGGGGGAGGAAGGAAGGAAGGAAGGAAAAGAGAGAGAGAGAAAGAGAGAAAGAAAAACAGTGAACAACAAAAAACAGTTGCTAGAACAAAGAAACCCAGGTGCTACCCCAAATGAAGACCAGGGGTGTCTTAGCATGAATGTTTTATTAAGGTGAGTGTTCCTGAAAATAGAGTGGCTCCTTTGTCAGCTTCTAAGTCAGAGAACAACCAAAAATCAGCATGCTGGGGAAAATCTTAAAAATGGTGATGGGATAAAATAGAGACTCTGGGGTATGTAGGTCTGTAGAGCTCAGCTGCAGGAGCCTGAAAGAAAAGGGGTGAAGGAAACGTGATCCTCTTTGTTGGCTTTTAACTTGCGGACAGAAATGCAGCTCTCAAGGAAGGGGGTAGGTAGAGCCTGAGGTTTTGAAGTCTAGAGCAAACTGCAAAATTTGGTGAGAGGTAGAGTTACCAAAGAGCTCAAGGATACAGAGAAAAGCATCAGGGGAGGAATCAGGGCAGGCAGCCTGAACAAACCGCCTGTTGTCCGGAGCAGAAGAATCTCTCCCCCAGGTAGCCAGATGCCCTGGGAGCTGGCTGCCAGCCCTGCTCTGAGGGTCAGCAGCCGCCCAGATCCCATTCTTTAGCAGAGTTCAAGTTCCGGGCTTTGTGCCCAGCAACGCCCAATTCCTTCCTTTCAGTGAACGGGAGTGGCTCCAGAGTCACCCAGTTCCCCTCCTTGGGAGGGGAGGGAGGAGACCAATGGCTAGACTCCTTGTCAAGAAAACACTTGAGTTAAGAAGGACATTTGCCCCTGAGTCCCCAGGGTGCCCATCAGCGGGGCTATGATCAAAACTGGAGGCTTCTAGGTAAGGTCTAAAATGCACTTAGTCCCTAGGCAAATGGGAGAAAAGGAAGAAGAGAGAAGTTTCCAGAAACATCACTTTTTTCCTAAACTTTTCCAGAGAAAAATCCTGATTTTTGTTAAAATAGATGGCGTACCAATGGTTTTGAAAGTACCTCATCTGTCCCAACAGCCTACATGTTTCCCAAAAATATTTCCTTTTTTCTTTTTTCTTTTTTCTTTTTTTAAGATTTTATTTATTTTTTTATTTATTTTATTATTATTTATTTTATTTATTTATTTTAAGATTTAAGATTATTTTAAGATTTTATTTTATTTATTTGAGAGAGCGAGAGAGAGTGAGAGAGCATGAGAGGAGAGACGGTCAGAGGACGGTCATGGAGCTGGGAGCCCGATGCGGGACTGGATCCCAGGGCTCCAGGATCATGACCTGAGCTGAAGGCAGATGCCCAACCAACTGAGCCACCCAGGTGCTCCCAAAAATATTTCTAATGGGGTACCTAGAAACCCACTGGGGAGGAGGAAACGCACCGGGGTTGGGGGGCTCAAAAGTCAAGAAGGACAACTCGGTATTTGTAAAAGTTGTCATGTTAACATCCAAGGCAAAAATGTGGTTTTTCTCACAAGATGAAATCACCAAGGGAAACAAATGATTTAGCTCTTGGGTGGTTCAGATAAAGTGTCTGTTTACTCAAAACTTCCTGTCGGCATGTTTCCTTATTAGGAAAGATTATATTTAATTTTTATTCTATGTCAGGCAAGACATAAAGTAGACTAAGACATTTCTGCCTGGGGAGAAAAATTGGAGTCCAAAGAAGATTGGGAGGTACAGTGTGTATGTTAACAAATAATTACCATATTAGTGACGAGAGAGAGAGAGAGAGAGAGAGAGAGAGAGAGAGGAGGGAGGGGCAGAGAGAATCCCAAGCAGCCTCCACACCCAGCATGAGCCCGATGTGGGGCTCAATCTCATGACCCTGAGATCATGACCTGAGCCTACATCAAGCGTCAGACCTTAACCGACTGAGCCACCCAGAACTCCTGAAATGGGTCCTTAAAGGATAAATGAGAATTCTGGAGAAAGAGGAAAAACAGAGGTTCTCTTGTTGAAACAAACGGAAGGGGGGTAAGCAGGAAATATGGTCTCCACGGGACCTACAAATGATTTCTCAACCCAGTGCTCAGGGAGGAGTGGCAGGTCAGGAGGCTGGAAAGAGAGGCTGGGCCCAGATATTGACGGTCCTCATTCTCCATCCTAGGGAGTATGGACTCAATCCTGACAAATACACCATTTGGAGGTAACTAAGATACAACCCAAAAAGGGTGGAATTACTTTGATATTTACCAGACCAATAAAAATAATGAGAAAAAGCCTTGGGACCTCGACCACCACACACTCTAGCAACTTTCTCATACACCCCCTGGCCTAAGAGCCAGAATGAAAAGTCCCAACTTAATACCCATTTGCAGAAGACGCAGGGACTCCCAGCCACCCTTACCAACAGCAGGGCCAATCCATAACTCCTTTGTTTCCTTTTTTTGTTTTCTAAACTTCTGGTGAGCTTCTCAAAGATGGGGGGTCGGGGGAGAGCTAGGATGTCAGAGTCCCCGATGAGAGGGGGGCTCTCAGCCCAAAAGAAGTGGTATGTTCCCCTTGGTCCTCCTTCTTGACTTGCTCTCCCTAGAGATATTCCAAAGCCAAGTCTGGATTTGAGACTGAGCTCTAATAGCTTAGAAAAACATGGGCGGGGGTGGGGGGGGAACCATGGGAGGAAATGCCTTCCTATCTCTTCCCCCGCCTCCCCCCCCAACCCATTCCTCCCACCCCCACCCCATCACTGCAGCTTAGATACTCCCCAGTAAAGCCTTGGGCTCCTTTCCTAATTATAGAGGAGGGCATCCTGCTCTTATTAATCGGCCCACAGAAGCGACTGTGAAGTTTAACCCTTCCTTTACTCTGAAGAGCTGCTAGAGGGATTTGCACGGGGCTGGAGAGATGGATGTCTTTGAAGATAACTGAAGAACCTCCCAGTTCACCGTAGGTACCGCATCGAAATCATGGGTGAGAATTCATACCTGTGTCATGTTTACTGATGAATATAGCATCTTCTGGTTACCACGCCCAATTTCCACTCTTAGGAAATGAATTCATTTCCCAAGAAAAGATCCAGCCACTTGTTTTTTTATTACTATGTAGTGGGAGACAGGAGGCCGGAGCTGGAATCCCACAGGCTTGGACCCAAATGCATGCTTGGCTGCTGACCAGCTGTGAGGCCTTGGGCAGGTGTTTCACTTTCTGTGCCTCGACCGTGTCATATGCAAAGTGAGACCAGTACTACCTGCCCAGAAGGCTGGGTGTAAGAATCTGATGAAATACTGTATTTAAATATACAGCTCTACGCTCGGTGCCCATCAAAAACAGCAAATTTGGTTGTTTGTGATTAGACTTAGTTACGATATTGCAAACTGCTCTCTTGACCACTTTGGGAGGAGGTCTGAGAGTTTCTCATCAAGCCAAGTTTCATATAAAGCTAACCACCATAGCAATTCCATCCTAGGTATTAATCCAAGAGAAATGAAGGTGTATAGCCACAAAAAGACTTATATGAGAATATCTGTAGAAGTT